CCCCCCGGCCCCCTGCACCCATGGCCATGCTCCTTGCCCCCTCACCCATCCGAGGCACGGCCTCCGTTTCCCCACGCTGAGCAGATTTTGTGCATTTGGGGTTGGTACCTGCTGCCCCTCTCGCCCGTTACGTGCAGCGATGCCGGCAGCTCCGGGACCGGGGAAGGAGTGTGCTCTGCACTGGGCGGTTGGGTACCTGGGGAGTTGGGGTCCCACTTCCCTGTGCTGGGCGTTTGTACATCCCTAAAGAGGAGTCTCTCACCAAAATGGATAGCCTTGGGCTGGATTATAGCCTCTTTATCCCAGCTTAACACATCGGAAATCCCAGAAACAGCCCCAAAGGAGTTTGCTCATGTGAGCTTATCCGTGCTTAAAGGTTGTATTCATTTAGCTACTTCTGCATCCATTTTTAGTTAAGGTCAGTGCAGCTTTATGGACAGTGGAGATTTTGTGGAAAGGAAGACTGTGTGGTTCTTTGTTTTCCCATTAACTCGCCTGGTTGGGAATTGCAGCCCTTCAATTAAACCAGCGCAGTATGGACTGGCCCTGAGGTGCTATTCTAAGACTATTGCATTCACATCTGCTTTTGGGTAAAACTTGGCCTGTTTTGAGGTTAGCCTGTGCTATTGTGTGTCTAAAAGCAGGAAGAAGCAGAGAATCAATCACTGGGGCTCCGTCCCAGGGAGCATCGAAGGGATAGAGGGTATGTTTTACCTCCCTCTCACTCCTAGCAAGGAGTGCAGCAGCAAACGTCCCGGTGTGTGCCTGGCAGAGACCGCTGGAGTGTGCGACTCGCCCTTCCTGGGGGACGCAGGGAGTCGCAGGGCGCAGCGGCGAAAGGATTTAATTAACCAGCATATGGAGAGCTAAAGCAAGAGCTGGACTCCGCTCAGAGCCACCGCTGAGAGCTGGAGGGCGGTGATGACAGCCCAGTCCATTGCCTGTTGTTGTTTAAGTTGAGCTTCCCCGCCTCCCTTTGCATTTTGCTCAATCAGTAAATGGCTTCGTGTAAACTCCTACAGGAAAAGCGGGCATGCAGGAATGCCGTGGGCAGTCGGTCCGTCTCTTCTGTGTGTATCATCTGATGTTTTTGTCCATGTGGCATTTGTTTGGGTTGAAACCAGGAAAGCTGGTGCTTCTACATTGCCAGCAGTGTGTACAACAGCCTGCTCATAGCCAAAAGGACATGGAGACTGGCAGGGAAAAATTGATTACTTGGATGTTTGGTTTTTTTTTTTCCCCCTCCTGATATGTGGACTGGACCTTGAAGAGTTATTTTTAGTAGGTAGCAGAGTGAAAAAACAGTTTAGGCTGTGTTTTAAAACTGTAGCATCCATTGTTAGTACCAGTAGAACTGCTGAAGAAGGTGGTAGGTTCATGTAAACCCCTCCCTTCTACCTCCATTAGGTGCCGGGACAATTAACAAGGACATTTAAAGATTGTGATGCCCGTGCTAAAAGCAAACTGGCCACCCTTAGCCAAGCTGGCCCTGAGCACAGAAAGCTGCGTATCCGTACTGCTGACCCTGGGAACAAAGGATCCTCCTGAACCCAAACATGTTTGTGTTAATCCCAGCTGCTTCCTGGTGGCCAGCGAGAGGAAACGGAGCCGCTACCTCTAACAGATGTACAGTGAGGAGATTACGGTGCGCGATTAAACACCCTCTCCATCACATCCTCCTCTCGGCTGTCCCAGCCCGGCACATTAATGGACTGTCCCAGGCTGCCTGCCAAGCTCAGGCAGATGTAACAGGCAGCAGATACTTCATCTCCTGCATCCGTGCCTGGTTTGGAGCCATTTGCTAATGCCAAGGCTTCTGCAAACACACCGCCTCTCACACCAGAAGCATGAGCTGTGTGAGCTGTACCTGCCTGCAAGGAGGAGTGGGCTGGGGGAAGGCAGGAGAAACACATGGAATTTACACCGTGCAGAAATGATGAATCTAGCTGAAAAGCTGTTAAAACTAAACCAAAATGTACCACATCAGGTATGTGAGTAGGCCGGGGTTTGCTAATGGACAATGTGCTGAAGAAGTCGGGCAGGGTCTTTGTTTTGCTGGACTGGCTTGATTTTTGGCTGCTACGCTTGGAGTAGAAGATTTCAGGGCTGGAAATGACTTATTCCCTCTTTGTGTGGGTTTAGGCACTGCCTTATATTGCGGTAGCTGGTCCTAGTGCCAAGTGCTGCTCTTACAATAGAAATAATCTAGGCTGGTTGCAAAAAATCAGCTATCCTACTGTGTGTTTAGGTTAATTAATGCAGTAATTGCAAAGTATGTTTCTTTATCAAGTAAAAAGCTGTTTCTAAAGTAAAAGAACCCCCTGCAGAAATTGTAGAGCTCGAAATTGTCATCATGTGAGACATGCAAAACCTTCATCAGCTGAGTGGGTTGGATCTGACTAAGAGAAAAAATGTTTTAAAAAGTCACTTTCTTCAGGTGAGATCTGTGGCCTCAGTTACGGCTCTGGAGCAGTCACCTTTGTCTGAACCATGGGCTTTCTCCCCACTTTTGTGTGACGGGGTCCAACTTGGGTTCCTGTAATTGCCGACGTTGTGCCATTGTCTTGGGTAGAACAAGGGGAGAAGTCGCATCAAGTTCTGCTAATGGCACACGAATTGTCCATTTCTCCCCTGCCTCTGTTCTGGAGGGGATGTGGCTCGGTCAGGGGCAGCACCAGGTGACATGTGAAGTTAGGAAGCCACGGGGACACCTCCTTCACGGGGTGCCTTGGAACAGGCAGAGCTGCCCGTGGGTTTGCAGCTCCCTGTGGCCAACGCATCTTGGGAGGGATCCCAGGAACGGGCGCAGCTGCGATGGCACTCGCTGTGCGGTGGTCACAGTAATGCAGAGAGCCAGATACCTCCCATCTCCTGCCATCCCAGTGCGTTTGGGAATCTACACTGCCGTGCCTCTTCCCTTTCTCCTCGCCTGCACAGAAATCCCTTTTCCTGAGCGTAGGAGACAACTGTTTGGCAAGTAACAGCAGCCTCAGCTCAAGGGAGAGCATTGTTTTTTAAATAGCTGCAGCATGCAAAGCGAGGATGGTGGCAGTAGCAAAAGGCAAAGGGAATGACTTGGTACAAAAGTGTAAGCAGCACCATCTGCTTTAGAAGGGCATCGTTTCTAACTCGGCAGCGAAGGAGGCTCCTGGAGTTAAGTAATTGGGAATAGTAGGCTCCTGGCTGGAAAGTGTGCCAACCCTTCTGGCAAAAAGCTGTTAAATCTTTGTTGCTGGCATGTGAAAGTAGTTCTGTGTAGCAGGGCTCCAAAGACTGTTTTTAACCCTTGATGTATGTAAAAAACCCCAAACCTACGGTGCTTTTGATCTTGGAATGGCATGTGGCCAGGTGTCAAGAATAAAAGGGGAAGGTGGGTCCTCATCTAGGTACATGAACGGCTCCAAATCTGATCCTCCCGTGCTGATAACAGCCAGACGTGGCCTGCCAACAAATGCACACAAAATGGTGCCTGTTTTAACAGCTTTAGCAGGAAAACATGGTATACGATGAATGATTCATGAGGATCAATAGAACCAGGCATTTACTGCCCCTTAAAACTAGTGCCTGCCCGCCTGCCAAAGGGTGCATTTGCAAGATAAGTGATCGCAAAGCTTTTGGGACACAGTCACACGCTTGGCTCTCCTCTTAGTACGGCCCTTACCCTGCAGTCTGCAAACATGCCCAACTTACCAGCCAGGATGAGGAGCCTTTAATTCTCCAGATGAAAGCGCAAGCTGTTACGCATCTCCAAGCGAGCACAAATACAAACAAGTCAACATTTTGCACCACCTCCTAGGGGTGGCTTCCTTGGAAGCTTTGGTCTTCATCCTGTTTGTCTGATTCACGATCAAAAGAGTGTTGCTGCCTACGTGTGTCTTTAAGCAGTCACTTCTATCATATCTCATACAAACGTCTAATTTCTTCATGAAAATAAAATGAAGGTAATGCAATCAAATAAGATCTGTCTCCATGATCGTTGTCTTTCACTAATAGTGTGACCAGAGCTCTGCAAAGCTCTTTTGGGACCTTCTTTGCTGTGGAGGGGAAGAGGATGCTTCACAGCCATATGGGTTTTCCTGCCAAGGGGAGAAAGTTGGATTTAAAAGCCTGAGCCCAAGCCATTCTGAAGATGAAACAGTTGGATTGTGAAACGTGTACTTTTTCCAAGTTTGATCTGGATGTTTTTTAATCTTCCTCAAATTAAAGGAAAATCTCTTGTTTGACCCAAAACAAAATTATGTTTTCTTTGGCCAGCCAACCAAAAAAATCAACTCTATCCCCAGTGTTAGTCCAAGTTCCCTTGCCAGTAGTGCCTACACAGCTTTACCAGTCCCGGATTAGAGCCTTGTTGCTAAAGAGTTTACAAGAACAGGAGAGTTCAGTTGCTTGCTCTAAGTTTAGTTCAGTTCTGGTTAAATTCATGAATATTTGTTCATATTTCACCTCTGGTTTATGGACATTTGTCCACATCCTGCCTTTTTAAGCTGTTTACTCACATAAATTGCTTTAACTTTATTTTGTGAGGTTTTACAAAATGTAATATGGATTTGCTTGTATGCATGGCGAAGCAGAGTTTTTGATGCAGCTGCAAGGTTTTACATTGCCTGTTGGACTAGAAGCTCTTTGTATGAAGGTGAAGGATTTTGGTCAGGAAACAGATGAACTTAATGTCCTTTAATACCATGTTTTCATCTCTGCGGTCTGCTTCAGGAAGTACCTTGGTAGCTGTTCCATGAGTTTTAGGTGAACTAGGATCTATGAGCTCATTTTGTACCTGGGTTCTTGTGCCTTGGAAAAACCCTTGGCTCCCATTATTTGGTGGACTTATTCTGGTATATGGTAGAGGACAGACCTGCAGACCTCTATACCGTACTACCAGCCTCATCCTCAACTGAGAACCTGCAGCATGGTGGGGGAAGAGATGGGAATTTTTCCAATTGCTAATGCTCTTAGTGGTGTGCTGGGTCATCTTTTCCCTTAATGCTTGTTATCCTCCTCAGGAAACATGTCGGAAGTGCCAGGGGCTGTGGAAGGAGCACATGAACCTCACCTGCGAGCAGCTGGCTGAGAAGGATGACATTAAATACAGGACGTCCATGTAAGTGAACTCCACAACTAGGCAAAAATGGTGGGGGTGGATGAACTCATAATAGCAATGCACTAGGCACTACGCTCCGGTGTGGAGGGGGTGAGAAGCCCTTCTGTTCTTGTGACTAGCAAAGGCCCCAGACTTCTGCTGGGTGTCACTACCTTCCATCAGAGAGGTCCTGGGGATGTCAGTGCTGAGGGGTCAGAAGGCTCCCAGGGTGGGATTTCTTTTTGTGAAAGATCCTTGGCAGCGGATCCAGCTGGTAATTCAAGACCGTGGGAGAGTTGTCACCAGACCAGCCTGTTCCTCTGGCTAACCCGGGTGTCTCACAGGCTGGCACCTGGTCTTTCTCAGAGGTGAGAAATCCCCATTAGTGTTGCTTGGGGAGGAGGGGGGAAGAAGGGAGGTGTTACACAGAGGCAAAGAAGTATATTGAGTCACAGTAAGTCATTATTACCCTTTGAAAATCTAGAGTGGAGACAACGCGTGGTTTGCTAAGCTACTGCTTTCTGGCTTTGTGGGAGGGAATGTGTTTTCTTACAGAAGCTTGTCTCTGTTTCTAACTGGTTTGTAGGAATCGTTACAGAATAGAGTCACATTTTGAAGTACGCAGGTGTAAATCCTGAGTGTTTCCCTAAAATCTTTTGAAGTTTGATCTCTCTCATTGCCGCAGTAAATGACAAGATTCTCTGCCTTTAGGAAATAAGGGAAGGTTCATCCATGGAGCTGCATGTCTGCAGTCCAACGGGACTTGCCCACATTGCCCAATCCTTTCCCCTCTGATTTAGAGCCTGTCTGGCATGAGTAGAGGTTGGAAAGCTCCACCACTGGGAAGCTGAATGACTGTTGCTTGCTCATCCCGCAGTCCCTAATTCAGAACAAAATCCTTACAAATGTGATATGACTTACTTCTCTGCCACTCCTTTCCCGGTAGGAAAGAGGGGTGAGAGAGAGGAGGAATGAGTTGTCATGTCCCTAATAAGGAAAAAAATACCAGTTTCAAAACCTTTAGTAGAATGTTGCTGTGGGTAGATGAGTCTGCCTGATACAATAAAAGCTTCCTTTTGAAGCCCTGCATAAGGAAAGGGAAGCACAGCTGGAGTTCAGGCCAAACTTCCTGCCTTGCTCAAAGTTTCCAAAAAAAAATCTGCATCAGCAGCATCCTGTTGAGTAGCGGAGGAAAGAGCAGCTGCAGCGGAGAGGAAAGTCAGGCTCAAGTTGGGGTTTTTTTTCATCTCTATTCTTAGCATATCTCCAAATGCCTGGGGGCAGGCCATGCCAGGTATAACTGCGTGGGAGCTTTGGGTAGCTGCAAGGCAGCTCAAGTTCCCACCTCACCATTCCCTGCTCCTCTGGTTGTGCTGAGGGAGCGGTTTGTGGGGCTGTGCTGTGTTGGTTTTGCTGCTGGGATTCTCCTCGAAAATACCTCCCTGTCATCTTGCAAACGTACGTTAACTTCGCAGGTCCACTAAAGTAGCTGGGTGGAGATGCCTGGCTAAGGAAGACCTTTCCCCACTCTCAGGGCAGTACAGCCAGAGAACTGTGCTTCCCTCAGTGAAAACAGTCTCTTTACTCTTCTGTCATCAGATTTCGTTTCTAGGTTGTGAATTAAACTGTAATGTGATCTCTAGCGGTCAGAAAATTGGCCCTTAGGATGACAGCTTATATTCTTAAAGTCTTTTAATTAAATGACCGAGGCTTTTCTCCATTTCTGTGCCAAAATAGTACTGCCACAAGCTGAGCCTTTGCACTGGAGCACGTGTCACTGCCAGGATGTCTCTTGGGGACAGGGACTGTGCTTTGTCCTGGATTCCCGTTTGTGCTTCATTAGAGTAAAACCTGTCTCTTGAACCTAAAGCAATAACCTCGGGAAAATGTATACAGGGAATATTAAGATTAAGGGGGAAAGCCCAGTCTCTGTGTGGAAAGATGGGACTATTTTTCAGTTACTGGTTTAACAAAAAAAACCCGAATAAATCTGCAGCATCAACCAGGGTTAAAATAAAATCATTACAAATGGTCGTGGCAACTTTGTAGCCGGAGCAACAGGCAAGCATAAAACTAGCTAGCAGATGACAGCCAAGGGTTTGCTTTTCCTGAACTTTATCTCCCGGGCTGTATTTCTCTGCAGCCAAGTCAAGCATCCACGTGCCCTTTGGCCCTTCGATTTACAGCTTAAATTCCTCCCAAGCCAGAGCCTGGCGCTGCAGCATTTTGGCTCACATGGAAACCAGGATCGGGTCTGCAGCATGCAGCCAGTGATTGACTTTCTTTCACTTAATTTGTTCTTGAGTTGTCATGGGTTGGCTCCAAGTGGAGCTGAGCCCAGACCTCCTTGGAACAGCAGTGGACTGTGGGGATGGCGTGGGAGGAAAGCGGAGGGGGAGAGGTGCACGGGGGAGTGGGGGGGGTTAGAGCATCACTGGGATAGCGTAACAGTAATTTTACCACAGGCTGGTGACTGCAAACACCCCTTCCCTAATTCTTCTCCCTCCTCTTGCTTTGCAGAGAAGAGAAAATGACAGCTGCCCGAATTAGAAAATGCCACAAGTGTGGGACCGGCCTAATTAAATCGGAGGGTTGCAACCGCATGTCCTGCCGTTGTGGTGCTCAGATGTGCTACCTCTGCCGGGCTGCCATTAACGGGTACGACCACTTCTGCCAACACCCCCGCTCGCCCGGGGCTCCCTGCCAGGACTGTGCAAAGTGCTCTCTCTGGACAGATCCCACAGTAAGTAACGAAGGACTTTTGTGAATGATTCACACCCCGATTACAATTACTGTTCCACGGCAGCGCATTGAAATACGCGCCTTCCACCAGAGGAAAGCAGCTGGGTTTAGGCAGCACAGCTTTTTTCCTTTCCCAAGGCAGCTAAAAACCACACTGGAAGCCTCCATCAGCACAGAGTCACATCTGACCACAACTTGGAAGGAACTGGTGTTGCTTTAGGGAAAAACAGCTCCTGTTAGACGAAGGCTTTGGCTTGGAAGTGCTCTGAGCGTTGTTCTGGGGAGCAGGGCTTGTGGAAGGAGCTGGTGGGGAGCGTGTGCTGGCAGCAGGCACAGCAGCAGGCATTGGGATTATCGGGACTCGTTTCTAGTTTTACAGCTGAGATGCTGTTTGCTATGGCTTTGCATCTGGAGGAAAGGTGGAGTTGTGTCTTTTTGGTGCCCAGATCATCCGACTGCTGGCTCTGCGAGTCCCTTCGCAGAGATGGACCCACCGAGAAAACCCGAGTTACAGTTGGGTCTGTTCTCACGGCTGTTGTCAACAGCTGCAAAGAGAGAACTGAATCAGGGACTGAGCTGTAAGGGAAGCTGTAGTAACTTAATACAGCTCGTAGCTCTGACAAGCATGGGAAAACTTAGAGCAGCGTTTCTGTAAATAGAGGTCTTCAATACCAGAAATCCGGAAGGAGTGTAGGTAGGAGCAGGAGTTTAATTGCCTGATTTCAGCGAAGCGGTAGAGCAAACGTGAATGTGGATCTGCCTTCCCAGGGCTTCTCTGAGCTTTGTTTGTCCCAACACTTCTTTGTCTCTGGCTGCTGCAGCTTGCCAGACAGCTACCAGCCCCTCTTTCTGCAGGGGGTGCACACAATCCTGCACTTGCACGGAGCCAAGGAAGAGCCACTCTAAATCTCTCCCTCCTACCTGCAGGCTCTTGGGGATCTCCCAGCAGTGTCCCAACCAGCATAAACTTCCTACCTAAACTTTCTGCTTGCCTGCCTTTATTCCCTGCATTATCCTATCAATGCAAGGTGTTAAATTAAACACAGACACCTCCTTCTAGGCACCCCTGTAGCGCTTCCAACACCTGGTTATGCACTCCCTGGATTCCTGTCCCCCTCCTCCCTGTTTTCCACCAGGATGTGATTCAGGGTTCGGCAGCGCTGGCGTCCTTTGTTCCCATCAGGCTGCTAATTGTGCTGGGTGATGGCATTTGTTCAGAGCCAGAGAAAACATGAGGCCTCTCAAAAAGCTCATACTGTACTTTAAAATAAATAAATAAATAAGCAGCACAAAGAGGGCACTGTCACCAGGCCCTTCCCAGCTCTCTAATTAACCAATGTTGTGGCAAAGAAAAATTTCCCACCGTCAGCAAAGAGCTGGCACTGCCTGCTCTTTTTTTGTTTTGTTTTGTTTTGTTTTTTTTTAATTTGGATGACAGAGCACTGGTGGGCTGGGGAGGTGAAGTTGGGTAGCTGTCCTCACTGTGGTGCAAAGAATAATATGAAACTCAACTGTTGGCTTCTAAGGCTGAAGTGATGGATACTTGTGTGCATTGTCCACTTTCGTAAGGGACTTAGTGACACTAACCCAGTCTGTACTCTTGCATGGGACACGTAAACAGGAGTTAACATGGTAGACGTGAAGAGGGGGAGTAAATTTGAATCTTGACATGGAGATATGAAAGAGCAAAAGCCCATTGTATCAGTAGCATCTTGTCCTTTGTCAGGGACGATGTCCATCCAAGGGATTACCCCATCCTGGCTCTGTTGGCAGCTGCATTGGTGTCTTCATGTGCCTTTCTTAACTCCTCTGTTTCCTCTTTTGGCTCAATTTCTTCTATTCTGTTGAAGTCAGTAGACCGCTGATGCTGTGCATGTAGGAAGAGAGTGTCTGTTGTGGGCTTGCACATGTTTGCAGCCATGCTCTGCCTGTGTGCAAGTACAGAGAAGACAGGACTGGGATGTCTCGTCACCTGTGAAATTTGCAGCCCATCTCTTAGGAGCTGCCACTCCTCTCCCGGGATTAGGCTCTGCTGCAAACTGGGGAGGGCACACATGTGATACCAAAGCCTGGCTTCCAGCGAGTGGCAGGAATTTTTTGTTCTGATTTCTGATGTATTCATGTACAGCCTTAACTTGGAACCATCTTCACAGCAGACCAGTGGCATGGTCACAGTCTCGTGGTGTTGCCCATTTGTGTTTCACAGGTGTGGACTTCAGCTTTGTCAGACCTGGATGATTCCATACCTTTGGGAAGGATCTGTTCAGGGTCTAACTCCCCATTATGTACAGCAAAATTCAGGTTTCTTTAAAATAGGGAACCTTTGTTCTTTTCCAAATGTTTAACGTTTTCCGAGTCTGAAGTGATTCTTGCGAAAGTATAAGTAAACCTATTCATTAGCTTGGGTTAAAAACAAATTAAAGACAGTCCTCTAGGAACTGCAGCATCTGTTAGTCTTTGTCTCAAATGATCTTGAGAGAGTAAAGCAGACGCTTCAAAATTTCCCATAATAAAAGGTTAGTTAAAATCTTGTCCCTATACTGTAATCAGACTGGAGTCTAATTTTAAAGCATTGATGCAATATTTGCTGGCTCAGAGACAAGCTGCAATCGGGCTGTGGTCAGCAGCTTCCAGGGCAGCCGGCAGTAATCGCTTCATCACTGCGTTTCTTCCAGAGCTAATCGGTGCCCTGCACCCCTGTAGGATACGAACGCGTGCCAGGAGCTCTTCTTGGTAAGCTGCTTGGCCAAAAGTCCTCGTGTGCCTGCTCTGCTGCCCGTGCTGCCTTTGGCTCAGCTCCCCGAGCCGTTGCTGGCTGCAGGAGGGGCTGATGCAATATTGCCAGAGACAAAGCTCAGGATGGAGCAGTGAGAATTGGCTCTGCAGGCAGCAGGCTCTGGGGCTCAGGGGCTGTGTTTTCCCTCATTTCTAAATATCTGCAGCAAACCTGAGGCTGATGTGTGCGTTTTAGCCGGTTTGTACAAATCCTGTGATGCAATTTCACAAATGCAGTCTGACTGTTTTGGTGAACCGGGTTCTGCTCTCGTACATATTATTTTTAATTTTTTAGTCATCTTTGGACTATCAATAATATTGCATAGCGGCTCTTTTGGCTTTAAAGTTTAAGATGTTTTCAGTAAACTCTTAAAACACTCCCGAAGGCCCGTCATTAAAGTTCAAAGCAGAAGGCTAATCATGATAAGGTGTTTGCAATTATCCCTCCTTCTAGCATTATAAAAAGAAGATGTTGAGCGAAGGCTGTGTAAAACTTCAAATGCATTAAGGAAATGCATGAAGTACGCAGTGCTGCCTTTAAGATTTGGAGTGGGGGAAGCACCCTAAAATTTAGGGGGTGTTGGTTGGTGTTTTGTTTTGTTTTTAACATGCTATAAAGTGCCTTAATTATAAGCATACGGTTAACCCATGGTATTCACAGAAAGCCATCGATACGGAATGCCTGTTGCTAAAATAACTCTGCATTTCTGACACGCCAGCGTGTGCTTCATCCCCGTCCTGGCCCCCCTTTTCCTGCAGCACTGCGGATGCCCTGTTCCAGTTACAACACAGCTTTTATCCCCTGCTTCCTGCTGCATGGAGGAACACGCCGGAGACAGCCGATGCCTGTTCTTGCTCAGGCTCTCCGCAGCTGATCTGGGAATGATTTGCAACAGAACCCCTTAGTCCTCTGGAAGCCTCCGTCGTCAAAAATCATTTCAAGTTTATTAGTAACGGCTGCGGCCACACATACGTGGAAAAAGAGAGCAGTAAAAAGCCAGAAAGGGGGAGGCAGTGGTGGCGAAGGCACTTTCTAAAGACAGGGGAGGGGTTGCGCAGCCCAGAAATAGTTACCAGGTGTCTTGTTTTCCCTCTTTCAGGAGCCAGGGAGGCGCTTTCCCGTGACACTTAATAATTAAAGATAACGAGAAGCGCAGTAGATAAAAACAGAGCGTTCAAAAGCTCCGTGGATGGCGCTTTTGTTCTGGGCGGAGGAGGTTGTCTCTGTGTGACTTGCAGAGCTTTTATCTCCTGTGCTGCTGTAATTTCGTGTTCCCGAAGGGCCGTTTGTTTCCCCCGGCGGCTCTTTCTGCGTCTGTGCAAATGTCCCTGCGTGGATGCTGGACGCAGCTTCTCTGTACCAGCATTGTTGAAACCGGCCTCCCTGCCATGAAAAGGTGCCTCGCTTAGCAACCCAGCCCAGCTCTTCAGTTAATCCATCCACAGACCCGAGCCATCCTTTCTGCTGTGTCTGGCTCCGCGCTCGCCGCATTCCCTGGATTCAGTGGGAGAAGGCTGAAAGGAAAAGCCTCCTCCATGCCGAGAGCCTTTCGCAGGTGGGGGATCGCAAGGGCAGGCGCTCAGACTGGCCAGGGACAAACATTATTTCTGGTTTTTGCTAGGGGGCTGGGGATGGTTCCTGCAAAGAGCATCCCGCTGCTGGCTTTGGGGCAAAGCTCGGTCCTGTTTTGCCACTTCAAAATGCAGCTGCTGTTAATAACGGTGTTTTCTTTCGTCAGTGTTTGCTTTCTGCAGTGTTTGCAGATAAGAAGGGTGAATACATCTCGTAGGTCCTTTGCATTTTTCTCTTGGCCACCTCCCTTCTCCCGTGATGCAACAGAGCGTGGGGAAGGGCTGTACTAGAGCCTTGCCCTGCATTTTCTGTCTCAGGAGGAGATCCATGTTACATCCTTGCTCAAAAAACATGCAGGCTGGCCAGTGCTGGGACCCCCCTAGGGCTTGAGGGGTTGCTTGTTGCTTTTTTCCTTTTTTCCTTCTTTCCTTTTTTCCTTTTTTTTGCTTTTTTCCTTTTTTCCTTCTTTCCTTTTTTCCTTTTTTTTCCTTTTTTTCCTTTTTTTTTCCTTTTTTCCTTTTTTCCTTTTTTTTCTTTTTTTTTTTTTCTTTTTTTCTTTTTCTCTTTTTTCTCTTTTTTTCTTCTTCTTTTTTTTTTTTTCTTTTTTTGCTGTAGGCAAGGCAGCTGGCAGGAAGATGACTGTTAACCTGACAAGATAAATCCCTTCAATCCACACAGCATGTGAACAGGCTATTAAAATTATAATCTAATCCTTTATTAAGGGACTTGAGCCCGCTCAGGAAAACGGACACAAGAGGCTTTTGAAATTGTACTGCAGCCTCCACCCCATGTGACATTAAATGGTTTCTTACCACAGCAGACAGCTGTAAGTGCGCTAATGAAAACTTAATTTTTGGTGTGGATGCTTTACCCCTAGACAAATCTGTCATCTCTCCAATTAACTGTGGAATCAAAAAATCAGCCTTTGCTTCTCAAAGAATAAGTGGTTTTGCAAAAATCACTGTTGTACATAGTGAACACTTGCAGGACCGAGACTTGGTTTTTAATCCCGACCTGTGCCAGTGCAATATGTAATAGCCAGAACTTGTGACATCAGCTTTCCTTCACAAATATCCCAAAATTATCTTGCTGTGCACTTATAATCAGGTTTTTTTGATCCGAGACGTGGATCTTTCCTAAATACTGCAGGTATTGAACTGTTCTGTGTATTTATCACTTGCCAGATTTATCATCACCTTCTTAAGGAGGAAGGTGCAGTGTATTTTTGTTCTTTCTGTATTAACGGATACCAGTTTTTCAGAAATACTGACACAAAAAAATTCTAAATCAAGGCTTGGTATGTGGGATCGAGTACAAATACTTCTTAACCTTCCAACATGAGAATATGCTTTTATCAGCAGAGAAGCAACAAAGCTGATAAACCATACCCCCAAGAACAGAAGCTGATATGTCTCTGCTGTGATTAGCTATTCCAGAACTGGCCGGGAACTCCTCATCCCGATCTGGGTCTGTTCTCTGGGTCTGTTCTCGGCAGTTTTTTTCGCATCCAGGGTGTGCTGCAACGTTTGTCCCCTCTTGAAGACCAAGAGGGGATGGGCTTGAGTAAGTACCTCTGGCTGCTGCATTTGAGGCGATGTGTTTGACGTTGTCCTTGTGAGACAGCCGTCATTTTGGAGATGGGGCAGATGGGGTTTGCTGTTCCCCCTTTCCCCGGCGCTCTGGGAGCTGCGGTAATCGAAGCCAGCATCACCTCGGGGGTGCGTGCAGCTGGCTCGCCAGCCCCGGGGGCAGATGGCTTTGCCGATCCCTCGTTAGTGTGGAGGTCAGCAGCAGTTTAAACTGGGAGGGGCAAGTAGCCCCCGCAGCAGGGGCATCTTGTAAAAGGGCCTTGTTGATGGGTCCGATTCCCCAGGCTTCTGCAGGACTGACAGGTATCAACAGTGTGGGCTTTGCGGGAGCTGCAGCATCGCAGGGGGTGGTGGCAGGACAGCAGTGTCCCTGGAAAGCAGTGTTTCGGAGAGTTAATCCCAGATTCAGATTAAAGTAAAAACTTTTTTGAAGTGGAAAGGGGCTTCTGCATGTTTCTAGGCTTTAAGGTGAGGTTTATGCCTTTGTGTGAGGGAAGGAGATAGGGTGGTGTTGTTCAGTCAAGCTTAAAATGTGCTCCTTATTTGTGATAAAAAACCCCTTCAGATGAATCTTTTCCAGTAACTGGCAATAAGGTGGGAGAGGTGGCTATCTCCATGTTCAACAACACTGCAAAAAATAGTCTGAGAAGGAAAATACTGAAATCTTGAAGCTTTGGGGCCACCCTTTGAGAGCGCTGCTTGGGCAGCAAAGGAGCAGAGGATGTTTGGTTGCCTGTTGTGGATCGTGCCTGGGTTGTTCTCCAGCCAGGGAACATCGCAATCTGATACGGGGGGGGTAATTAGAAATTCTGTGTAGGCTCAGAAGAGCCATTCTTCAGCAGTTTTTATGGAGATAGATAGGCTGTAATTAACAGTCCATGGAAGCAGCCTGCTTGGGGGGAAAAAAAAAAAAAAAAAAAAAAGTGTCCTGGAAAGTCTTAATTTTAACTATTGACTCACAGAATAATAAAAGGGAGGGAGGTATTGAGTTTGATGGCTTTCTGCAGATTAAAATAACTTCAGTCTCCCAGGGAAACCTTATCTGGTGGCAAGAAGAGGGGGCACCTTAGCAAGGCTCCCAGGCGTTGCTGCTAGGCATGTGCTGGACGGTGAGGTTGGAACTGGGAAGCTGGCTAGACTTAAAATAATTTCAACGTAGCTGCACACATGGAGCATATTTCAAATTTAGTCCCAGAGCACTCTTCAAAATAGAGGATATTTTCCACATTAAGGGTGTTCAGGAAGAAATTTATGGGTTTTGGCAGTAGCAAAATTATGATGAATAAAACAAAGCAGAGTCTTGCGCATTGTGGGGTACGTGGGGCTTGGGGCTTCCCTCCTGCTCCACCGCTTGCAGATGAACTGCTGAAGCAAACCAAACGCTCCTTCGATGCAGGTAGACCCAGAGTGCCTGATGCAGGTGTTGTGTGTCATCCAGCAGCTCCTGTTCTTGGCCTTCTTCCCTAATAACTGACATCAAGAGTACAAACACTGTCCAGGAGGCTTAGCTATTCTCATTTGTGTTCTGAAAGAGCCAGGTAGTGTTTCATCCCAACGGACACGAAGCAGCAGCAGATGCAACCCTGCAGAGACCAGGAGGACCTCTGTTGCCATCGCTGCACATATGGCCAGCAGAAGCACCTGCTGCCTGGCACTGAGAGGCCGTTGTCTCCTTAGTTGGTTGGTGTAATCTTTATTACCCTGATAGCTGTCTCATGCTGTGGTGCAGTGAAGAAACTCATCTCTCGCAGCCGTTCCTGGGAGTGGACAGCTAATGCTGAAGCGTGATTTGGGGAGATTCTCTGGGTTCCCAGGAACACTAACGTGGCCTGTGTAAAGCCTGAGAGCTGCCTGGAGCTGATGGGCGGTCGGTGCCCGGGGCCATCCCTCCAGGCAAGCCTCTCCTAGCTCAGAGGCTGCACGGTCTTCTTCCAGGACTTGGTCCACCCGTGCCCCCCTGATCTAATAAAAAGTGGTATAAATGCCATCTCTATAGATACCTGCAGCCACCTGAGGCTTCACTGTGTTGTTTGATCTCACTGCTGCTCCTCTGAGTTGAGAAAACTGAAGATGATGAGAAGCAGAAGGTTGTTTTAAATTTCTGGCTTGTTCTTGTTGAGCAGTGGGTCTGAATATTCTTGCTCTAACCTCTAAATAGACATTAAAGAAACATATTGCGATTTATGCCCTCCTCAGAGTTACAGATAAGATCTAAATGGCCTTGTCACAGCACCGTTTAGCTACTAGAGCCAGGATTTAAATTGTGTTAATTCCAGCTGTTGCGCCAAAAACTCTAGAAGTGCTAGCATAATGTAAATATTTAATAGACTATTGCCATTTAAAAGATTAACAGCTCTCCAGCAACTCTTCAGATGGGCGGAGCAGGGTTGCAGTTCTCTGGTTTCCATCAAGTCAATGAATTTTAGCACTGATCTCCCTGGAAAGCTGATCTAAGCCTCTCTGTCACACTCCGTAGAGTAGGCTTGGCTCTGTGCAAGTTACATGTCTTGTAGACCCCGATCACAGCCTTGCCTTTGACTAAACCTATGTCAACCCTAAATGAGGACAATTCAGCCAGATTTACCTTTTTATTTCACTGCAAACACGTGCAGAAAAGAAAAGCAGCATTGAGAGAATAGAAGCAGGAATTAGCCCACTGACTCTTGATACTCCTTTGATTTCTAGGAAGATGATGAGAAGATAATCCAGGAGATTCAGAAAGAGGCTGAAGAGGAGCAAAGGAGGAAAAATGGAGGTAAGTCATAGTCTGTACCTGTGCTTTGAAATCAGACTGAGCACAACAGGAGAGCAGAGGGTTCCCAGCTACTGGCAGGTCTCTGGATCTTCACTGGAGTTTTTCCCACATCCTGACTGCTTTCAGGCTCCCCCATGCATTGCTGTGCTGCACCAAGCAACACCCGCATCTTGCTCCAGAGAGGAGTGCAAGCCATCACCCTGCTCCTCCTGGGAACCCGTCTGGCTTTAAAGTTCTGTTGCTGCAGGCTTTCAGTGGGCCCAGGGGGGAGAGACAGAGCTCGTGTCCAGCTCTCGCTTGGCACCGGGTATCGTGGATGCACGGAGAGACCTGTCTCCTCTCTGCTTGGCAAAGCAGCTGAAGGGCGGCATAACCTCTGTGGTGGGGGGCACAGGGGCGTGCCAGGGGCTTCCCCACATCCCTGCCAAGGGAGGTGTTCCCCGGCTTGTGCTGTGGTGTTGATGGAAGGAGCCGACCTGGAAAGGTAGTGCTGTGCTCCCGTGGCGCCTGGAGCGCGGCAGAGGCAAGCAGTGATGCTGTAGGGAGCATGCTTAAGGAACGTGCTTGGGGGTGAGGCCGTGGACCACGTTTGGCGAGTCTGTGTTTGTGGGATGACCGGTTCTTTTCTCTCCTCCCCCTGCAGAGAACAGCTTCAAGCGGATCGGCCCTCCTGCAGAAAAGCCCGTGGAAAAAATCCAGAGGATTGAAGTCATCCCCAGACCCGTTCCTCAGAACCTCCATCAACCCCGGATGCCCCCTTACCCCTTCGTGCACCCCCCCTTCCCGCTCCCTCCTGTCCGTCCCATGTACAATAACATCCCCCTCAACATCGGCCCTATCCCTGCCCCCTACGTCCCCCCGTTACCGAACATGAGGGTGAACTATGATTTTCCCCAGATCAATGTTCAGCTGGAGCACAACTTGCCTATGCACTTTGGCCCTCAGCCTCGGCACCGGTTCTGACCGGGTTCAAGCAGCACTTGGCGTAGAGTCAGCGCAGGGCAAAGCCACCCCAGCACCGTCACCCCCCTTCCTGCTCCAGCCCCTCTCGGTTTACCCGGCTGGAAGGGGACCTGCTCTGACTCACGCCAACCTGCACTGCACCCCTCTCTAGAGCTTCTCTGGAAGTTGGTGATCAAACATTTCGACCTGTGCGGCAACAGGGCTTGGTGCTGCGTTTCTAAAGGGGTATCTCCCGATGCTGGGCATCCAGATATTTTGATTTGACGAAGCCTGTTCCTGGGAGGGAAAGTGAGACTTTGTGGAGCGTAGAGACGCAGCCGTTCCGCGGGGACTTTCCAAAAAATCTGACCTTCCCGCTGGCCGGGGCAGCTGCTGCACGGTCAAAAGAATCTTGGGGGAAGGGAGGAGAGCCTTGCCATCTGAAGTAAGACCTTCAGAAGCAAGATAAGAGGAGTTGGCTGCCCTGGCCTTCTGCCTGCGGAGAGGCACAAGGCTGGAGTTCCCATGTTCTCCAGCATCCCTGTAACCTGCTAGCACCTCCCAGCAGAAATAAATTGTTCAAAACCAAGTCAATCCTAGTGTTTTTGGCATTTCGAGGGGGTGCAGCAGCCATCTTGTTGCTGAGATCTCGGTAGGAAGCCCAGAGCCATGTCGTGTCTTGGGGCTTTAGCAAGTAGCAGAAGACACGGGCACCCTAATCTTTCGCTGAATTGAACTTGCCCCTTTTGATGGGCTCAGGTTTTTGTTTGTTTGGGGTTTTTTTTCCCCAGAGGTGGGTGCCTCTTGGCTTCCAAAATGCGGCCTTTGCTTTGCCGTTCCCATCTGGCATCCCAAATCTCCCCCTGCTTGTGGCAGCCATCCTCAAGCAGCTGGTAGAAGCAGCTGGAGCCTAAGCTGTGCCCTTTGTTGCAAAAACTGCTTGGGCAAATACCCGGTTAGATGTGTAGACGGTGGTGTGTGATGTGTGCTGTGGCAGAAAAAAATGAGGAACTACCCCTGCAGTCTTCCATGCGGGCGACGGTGAGGCGGGAGCCCCCTTGGCCGAACCCCCCTGCAACCGAGCGGGCAGCTGTAGCCTTGTGCTGCAGGAAGCTGGCTGCCTCCGTGGCGCTTAACTTCTGAAAAACGTGTGTTTCAGCTTAATTGGCTTCGGAAAAGCATGTTGAATTGCTGGGCTTAGGAAGCGAGGGTTTAAGAAAAGCAAAACTTCCTCGTAAGAAGCAGAGGGTGTAGTAGTTGCTGGGCTGCGGGAGGAATGCTGGCACAAAGCCCTTTCCCCACAGCCCTTGGCTGTACTGTCTGGTACAGGCCCCCTTTAGAAAAGAAAATGGTTGGAGTGGAAAAAAAAAAAACCTCCTCCCAGAAATGTTGAGCTAGCTTTTAGCAGCCCAGTTGTGCTGTTCTTCCCTGAGTGGTTTGGTCTGGGCTGCATCCTGCTCCGTCCTGCTGGGTGCAATTTTCCCTCCCGTTATTCCCCCCCTGGAATTGGAGTATCTATGTGTCTTTCGGTTTTGTTTGTTTTTCAGGTAAAAATCCCTGCCTCTGCCTTGCAGCTTCTGCCAAACCCTTGCAGCTCTCTGTAACCCCCCCCCCCCCGGCACAGCATCTCCTCGGGCGTGCAGCGGGCGATGGGCACGGGGCTGCCGGTGGGATGCTTCTGGAGGGAGGCAGCCTCCACCATGGCCCAGGACAGCGTCCAGGGACTGTTGTCCCCAGGAGGGTCTCCCAGAGGGGACTTCCATGCTTTTTGGAGCTGAGTCAGCAATTTTCTCCCTCCTGGGCACTGTCTATGGGTTGAACATACCCTGCAGAGTGCTCTGTTCCAGCTCCTCAGTGCCACGGTCTCTCTAGCATTAATAACCAAGTGGTATTCCCTTGCTGCTATCATTTGCTTTTTTAATTTATTTCTGCAGGAGCTTTTGTCGCTTGGTGCTCGGTTGGAATTTAGCTAGGTTTAAATCCCACCTTGCTCCGAATGGTTCCTGCAGTAGCCTGGAGCGGGGCATCCTGATGGATTTGGGAAGGGCTGTGTTCACAGTGTCATCAGGTGGCAAGAAAATGGACCCACGTCAGAAGAAACACGGGTGGCTTTTTTATACAGAAAGGGACAGAAAGGGAATCCTGGGGTTTTAATAGCCAAAATCTTGTGGGCTCAAGGGCCGGCTTGCATGAGCCCTCCTGGATTTCTAGAGCACGTGACTTTCTCCAGTGGGGTGGTCATGGTTGTCCCCCAGTACCTGCCTGTGCTGAGGGGGGTCGGGCAGCTGGGGTACAGCTCAGCTGCTGGACCAGTGGCCCCAAATTCCAAAGGAAACGCGACGTGGCTGGGAGCACACAGTGGGGGGGAAAAAAAAAAAATAAAAAATAAAACCAGGAAATATCTTTTGGTGCGTGTCTACAGGCGTGTGGGTGTCAGGAGGTAAGCTGTGGCGGAAGGAGGTGCAGAGCTGGAGCACGAGGGATGGAGAAGCGTCGGGCAGAGGTGGCAAGGGGAGGCTGGTGTCCGTGGTCTGTCCTGCTTAGGGTGTGAGCGTCTTCTGCTGCCGTGGTGCAGCGGTCACAGTCCCGGAGGAGCCTGGCAGGGCGAGGGAGGACTGCTGTCCCCACGTCCTCTGCGAAACCCTGAGCTTATTTGGGTCTGAGAGAAGAGGAATCGGTGCTTGGACTGTGATGGGGAGCCCAGCGATGGGGCGGCGCTGGGCTTCTCTCCCTGAGGAAACAGCCATTTCACCCAAAATTGCCTCACAGCCAAGCACGTGGCTGCTCCTCCCCTCTAACCTGAGAGACCTCGAGTTGTGGTTGCTGGTAGCGCTAAGATCTGTGTTGATTTATTTAAAAAAAAAAGAAAAAAAAAAAAACCCAAACCTTACTGCACAACCAGCAGAGCCATCCGTGATCTGGTCTTTAACTCCTGCATCCCCTTTTCTCTCCTGCCCTGCCGTCCTTGAAACCATTTGCCCTTCAAAAGGTGACAGGGACGTTGCTGTGCCCAGGCTGAACCCGTAACAGGTACTTCTTAAGGTTAATTGCAGTGTTCCATTTTACTTGCCTTAAAGGTGGAGAGAGAAACTTAGTATTTGCACTTAGCAAAACATTATATTAAAAGAAAGAAACCCTGTAAAGATGTGCATGTTCTGCAACTTTGTATAACAATAGCTGAAAATAAATAGGTGGTTTATTAAAAAAAAGAAAAAAGAAAAAAAGAAAAAAACCCAAAAATATTTTTCTTTACCTTCTGGTAGTAAACTGTTCTAATATTCTGTGTGTAAAAAGTTCCTGTATTATATTGTAATTTGAATTTTTGTAAATAAATTTGTTCACTCTGGCTTTTACCTCTGTGCTTTCGTTACAGCCAAACCATCGTCCTTCCGTCCCAACGGCGCTGGCCTGGTGCTGGGGGTAAGGACGGGCAGGGCTGCTGTGCCGGATCTCAGCCCGCACGGCCGAAAACTCTGCAAGTTGCGAGGCAAAACCCATTTGACCTTTCTGGAAAAGCTTAATACGTTCCACATGCTCCCGAGGCAAAACTGGACGGGGTGGAAAATGGTTTCCAGTCGCTTCTTTAAATGGAAACCAGGATGTGTGTGGCGTGGGGGGGGGGGGAAAGGCTGAGGAGGGCAGGAGTGATGGCGAATGGAGAATCTGGCCTTAAAAGCAAAAGGAAATGTGTGTTGGTGACTGGGGGAGAGGGGAGGGCGAGGGTCCTCCCTGCCACAGTGTCACGCTTTGGGTGTTGCTTTGGGGGTGAGGGCGGGTGCGTGGCAAGTGGAGCCGCTCAGCGTTTCCTGCACAGCTGTAATTTCGCCCTGCCTGGAGTACAGCACACACGTCCTTCCTTCGGTCTGTGCTTAAACTGTGCTTAAACCCGGGTCTGAAGTTGAAGGTCGCTCCTAGCAACTCCCTCCCGCCGTCACCCCTGGGATGTGCATTTGGGGGAGGGCGGGGGGGGGGGGGGGAGAGTGGGGCCAGCTCCCTTTCCCCAAATCTTGTTTTCCCCAAACCTTGCTTTTCCCAAACCTTACTTTTGCCAAACCTTGCTTTTACCAAACCAGCTTTAGAATTTAAAAGCCAAGCAGGAGCCCGTTGGTGGGCTGCAGGTGCCGAGCCGGGCAGGGGGAGGTGGAGGGCAGCGAAGGGGCTGGCTGCTCTCGGTGGCCCCTGGCCCCTCTGTAAGCCCGTGCTGCACCCCGTCTTCATCGCTGAAACTGAGGTTGGTCCCAGCATCCAACTTTGAGAGGGTTGGTTGAATTTTGGCTGGTTTTGGCTCTCTCAGGGGGGCCGGGGGCCCATCCCGGACATCCCAGCTCCTCCGGCCGGACGCCGTGTTTTGGCCTGGGCTGGGCTGCAGCGGATGGGCTTCCCCCTTCCTTCCTGGTTCTAGATTTATGGGGTTTTTAATCTTTGCCTTTTCTGCATCACCAAGCAGAGGAAGAGGGGGCTTATTGCTGACCCTCACCAGCCATGCACCCAAAACCAGCATCCCATCGCTCGTCCCCCTCGGCAGGTGCCCCCCCGGCTCAGGGCCATCGTATTGGGGGGGGAAATATCTGAGCTGGCTGGAAAAAGCAGCTCCTTCACCGTGCTGCCAGGCCGAGGGGGGGCACAGCTTCACTCCCCACTGCAAGGGTGGGGGAGCTGGTTTGCAGGAGTTGTTTTGCTGGTGCATCTCCCCGGCCCGTGCACCCATCCTCCGAGATGCCCGTGGGCTCGGTGGCTTGGGGCTGCTCTGAGCATCTCGAGAGGTGGCCCAGCCTCCAGCCAGCCTTGGCTTCGAGCCTGCTCCGGGGAGGTGAGCCCAGTGGTCACCATTCCCTTCCCACCAACTCATCTAGAGCCAGCTCAAGCTTTGTGAAGCAATTTGGCCCCCAAAGGCTCTGCCACTCCCCATGCTCCACGCTCAGACTGTCTCTCATTAAAAGGCTGTTGCAGCCCCAGCTGCAGTTGCCCTGACAGACCACACACCACTGCTTGTATCCGAATGCAGGTTTTATTTTTTATTCATCTTTCTCCATTTGAAGCTATTTTTTAAGTTATACAAATGGCACTTACAAAAAAAATAATTAAGGAAAAAAAAAAAAAAAGCCAAAACCAAAAAAAAAAAAACCCCAAACAAACCCAAAACTTAAATTTTCAGAGTGAGATGTTTTCAGAGAGTCACGACACCCGGTAAGAGGAGACAGGAGAGATGTTGACCTAGTGTCACACGGAAGAAGCCGGAGCGGGAGTTACATGGTTCGAACTGCGACGGGGGGACGGGGAGGCAGCGACACGGGGCGGGGAGGGAGCGGGGGTGAAGGCCAGCGAAAAGTGTGTGGCAAGTCACAGGGTCACTCAGGGCTTCATCAAGACACTCGGTCCTTCGAGGGGCAGCGTGGTTCCCCGGGGCGGGTGCGCACGCGCGCGGAGCCGAGGGAGAGTCCCAGCCGCCAGCCCCCGCGCCGGCCAGGGACCCCGGCCCAGAGTCGCCCCCCTGGCAGGGGACGGGTCGCTCGCTCTCCCCGCTGAGAGTTTTAGCACCAAGCTCCTAGGAAGGGTCACCCCCTCCACATGGCTTTAAGGCTGACGTAGCCCCTGCCTCGCCTCCGGCGAGAGGGACCGGCCCTGGTTTGGCACGGCAGCGATGCCGTGAGCACCCTTGGCGTGGGCTGGGGGGCAGGGGGGCACAGCAGCGCTGCCCCCTCCTCCCCAGCAGGCGCCTGTGGGGGGGAAAAGGCTCCTTGGTGTATCTGCAGGGAGCAAATACCAGCCCTGGGAAGGCCCCAAAAGGATAAAGTGCCTTTCAACACCCTAATGAACACGTCAGCATCACCCGTTACAAACAGCGTTATACTCTAATGCAGACCTAGTACAGACAACAGCTGGTAACACAGTGCCATGGAGAGCATATATAAATAGAGACTAACAAAAATACTGTTTTGGTCTTTTTTTTTTTTTTTTTTTTTTTTTTCTCTTTTTTTTTTTTTTTTAATTTCCAGTAGGGTTGCAATGGCGTGAGAGCCGAGCCCAGGTGCCCCAGGGGTGGCAGGACTGGGAGCTGCCCTCCTCGGGGGGAACCCGCAGGAATGGGCACTTCCTAAGTCAGCATTAGGTGTTCAGTGATTTGCTTCACTGTTCCAGTATTTTATGAGAGAAGAAGAAAAAAAAAAGGAAAAAAAAAAAAAAACCAAACAAAAAAAACCACAAAACAAAGGTACTGAGCAAATATCACTGTGCAAAGTTTGCTAAGGAACTTTTCTATTCTGTAAACCAAAATCTGCAGTTTATGCTTCCAGCCACCGCCCAGGGGAGGTTGCGTCCGCCAGCCAGGCTGCTGTGGGGGCCGCAGCCTGTTGGTGCTGGAGGTGGGCTGGATGAAGCCCCCCCACCCCCGGCACGGGCTTGCTCTGCATCCCCCCCCCCCGCCATCCCCTGCCAGGCGCAGCAGCAGGACCAGCCAGGCCGGACCCACCTTCGGGGTCTACGATGCTCTTCCAGAGCCAGAAGCACAAGGAAGGGCAGAGGGACGCAAAGAGCACGGGGCTCCACGAGATGAAAGGCTGAGGCTTTCCAGACAGGATCACCCTAAAAAAAAAAAATCATTTCCAGGTAGGGACTGGGGGAGTGGGGGCTTGGGGGGGGGTCGGCTTGCTGGCTCTTCCGCGGGGACACGTGCCGGCAGGCGCCAGCCCTGTCCCCGGGGATGCTGTGATACGTAAGGTCACCTCTTATGGCTCAGCTGGGGATGAATCCCGCTCCGAAAGCCGGGAGCGGAGAGAAGCTGCCGGGGGGGAGCCGGGAGGAGCCGGCTGAGCCCAGCACCATCGCTCTGCCCCTGGTTGGAGCGGGTCAGGATGGGACGGGGACCCCTGGCAGCACAGACTGGGGTGGCACCAGTGCTGATATGAGGTGATCTTATTCCCTTTTTTTTTTCAATTGAGGGGAGGAAAATAAACTAGCTAAGGTGATGCTTGGGGCCAGGAGGGGTGTACGGCAGTTTCCAAGCCCAGCAAACCTGGAGGGAGGCGGAGGGGGGGAGGGATAGGGACAGACCCCTCTACAAAGCTATAGGCAGGCTGCCCCATCACTTTTCCAGTTCTTAACAGAGATTTGTGGAGCCCCACCTCCCATATAACACCCCGACTCTACGGAGGGAGGGAAGGGCAAGCCAGTCTGAAAATCCTTTTTACAGAGAGGAGAAACAAAACCCAAAAGAAAAAAGGATGAAGGAGGGGAAAGAAAAGTTGGCAATGGGAGGTACGCTAAAGTGCATTAATATTCCCAGAGGGTGGAGGCGTCAATGGCGTCGGCGGATGCCTTGAGGACCCCGGCATGGTCACCCTTCAGGTATTTGCCATTGATTTTGATAGCCACTTTGTTATAGTCGCAGAACTCAAAAAAGAAGTCCACGGGGGTGTCGCTGCTGCTGGTGACGGACGACTCGCTCCCCACCATCCAGTACTTCCCGGTGGCATCTGCAGGCAGAGGGAGAGGGGGACAAGGTGGCCCTGTGAGCCACCACAGGGACCCCCACCGGCCACCACCCCCCCCCGGCCCCTACCCACCCCCGGGGACTCACCCTTGATGTTGTAGGCACCGTCGTTGAACTCCAGCTGGAAGACATCGTAGGAGGAGCGGTTGGAGTCCAGGGTGCCGGTCACCTTCCGGCACCCAATGAAGCCGTGCTCGCCGCGGAGGACGATGATGGGCCTGTTGATCAGCTTCATCACAAAATGCTCCGTCTCGCCTGCGCCGGAGGGAAAAGGGGCTGTGAGAGCAGCCCGGGGTGGGAGGGGGGGGGCGCAGAGCCCAGACCCCACAGCTGGCAGGCAGCAGCGAGGAGGGTGGGCTGTGCCCCCCCACCCATTTCCCACCCAGCCCATCTGTCCCCCATCTCACAACACGTGAAACAGTCATTAAGAAGACTTATTGCCTTCATCCCTGAGCATCTCTTGGAAGAGGAGGTGGCTGGGGGGGGACACACAGCACTTTGTTCGTCCCCTGCCACCCCAGCGTGGGGTGGGGGGGGTCCCTTACCCGCCGTCTCCATGGAGGCCGCCAGCTGCCCGTTCTTCTTTGCCGTCACGTACTTGCCGTTGGCAGCTTTCAGGGTGATGCGCTTGTCGCACCACTCGATGTCGAAATAGCAGCTCGCGTTCCTGCGGGGGCAGAGAGGGCGGTCGGCGGGATGCGGCGGACGGGGACCCTGCCAGTGCCACCCCGCCGGCTCGGCAAGAGCCACGGCTGGATCGGGAGGCCAGATCGTGGGGGCCACCCCGACGGGAAGCCCTCGCCCCCCAGGCAGGAGGCAGGCAGGCAGCCAGATGCACTTTGGGGTTTCCGCCCAGCTCTCGGCTAGCGCCGGGTTGAACTGCAGGGGAAAGCGTTTCGACAGCCCCAGCCGGCCGGGAAGGATTACGTGGCCCGAGGGACTTCCCGAGCATCGTGGGCGGCAAGCCCTGACCCAGCCCCGGCTCTCCGGGGAATTCGCTGCCTTCACTGGGAAGTGTTTTGGGGCAAGCGCCTAAGGCTGAAAAATTCCCCCTTGGATTCCTCTGGGAGATACAGGGTGGTCCCCAAAACCCAGGCACGGCCCCAAGCTGCCGGGGACAGGGGGACTCACTTTGTGGAGGCGGTGGACTGGATGCCCCCGTTGGAGGTGAGGGTCCAGTACTTCCCAGTGTAGGTCCTGAAGGCGCATTTCTTGGTGTCCTTGTTGATCTCCAGCTGGTAGGTCTCCTGGTCACCTTCCTCATCTTGGTTGGCCGAGAGGTCCATCCCTACGGGGCAGAGGCAGATGGAGTTGGGGGGAGTGGGGAAGGGGGGATGACGGACCCTAACCCATCTCCAGCCGGTCTGGGTGTGGAGGCAGCCCAGGAAACCCAACTGAGAGGAGCTCCTGCTCCCCTGGGTGAGCTTTGGTGACTCCCGACTCCCTCACACACAACTCCCCTCTGGCGTTTTGGGTTCAAATCCAGGTTTTCATTTGGCTGCTCAAGTGTAAAGGCCATAAACGAGGGCTGGACTGAGCTGAGGCAGCCATGAGCTTCAGCTCAGGACTCTCCGGCTCCATCATGATTAAGCACCAAGCAAAGACCAACTTAGATATTTCACACAGAAAAGGGCTGTAGTTTTTTTCCCCAAAGGTGACAGCCAGGTTATTCAATCCATTAGCAGAGGCTGCTGCACCCGCTACGAATCCCCAGCTCGTGGCAAGTTTAAGGACCGTGGCACCATTCTTCATCCATAAATTGTCACAGCCCGTTGGGGCAGCGAGGTTTGCAGGGAGAAGAGGCTCGGGAAAGCCCTGGGGCAGCCAAGCCCTTCCCTGACTCTCCAAAACCATCAGCACCAGCCTGTCCCCCAGCTCTGCCAGCCAGGCTGACCCATCCCCACACCACAGGGACCAGAGATGGCACTTTGCCCCGGCAGCCTTGGAGGTGGATGCAGCCAGTCCTGGGGCCGCTCGCCACAGCCCTGGGGCTACCACTGGCCCCCCCAGGCCACATGCACATCCACCCCCAGGCACTGAGCCCAAGCAAACCTGCTTAGTCAGGGCTAGTGGGGCCAAATCCTCTCCAGAGCTCTCCCGCTTGGTGGATTTCTGCCTAAAAATACTTCTGGGATGCAAGTCACAAGCCGTAGCCTGGAGCCAAAGCAAAGTGGCTGAGCTGCCAAGCTGGGTTTCGGGGAGGGAGCTGAGGCGTGGTGCTCAGCCCCCCTCCTCCCTGCCTACCTACAGCTGGGATGAGTGGACACGGGCCCCAGTACCACCAGTGGGGCACAGCTCCATAAAGTGGTGAGAGTAGCCCGGGAAGGGATGGTGATACGGGCTGTGGTTTCGTGGAACCAGATGAGTTTTTCAGAGCAGAAAGCACCCGCGTCCCTCCCCCGCTGCATGGGTGCTACGGGCTCGAGCCCAGACATGCACGGGGTCCTGGAAAGGATGCAAAGCGTGCGTGCAACCTTTCTGCCCAAATCTGCCTTTTCCTGGAGCCAAGAACCTGCTCGTGGGGCCGGGGAATGCCTTCAGCCCCATGCACCTCCGCGGTACGTTGCCTCCCCGTTTCTTGGCTGCTGGGATTTCCAGCACTGTGATTCACGGTGGCTGGGAGGGCTTCAGGGACTGCAGCCTCGGTGGCCCTCCTGCCCTGGAAAGCCACCAGCGAGTCCCACCAGCTGCACCCAGCGGGTGCTGACCCACCTGGGGAGGAACCATCTACCTCCACACACCAGCTATTGGTCTTGGAAACGGAGCTGGCTTCCCACAGACACAGATACCTGGAGGCTTCCCGTTGCCCCATCTACGTCTCCAAACTGGCATCCCCATCCAGTGGCCCCCGGGGGAGCAGCCTCTGCTCTGCCCATTGGTCTCCCACCTTTCCCAAAGGATTTAGGCTTGGAAGGCTTCGCTCTGTTGGCTGTAATCTTACCTCCCACACCCAAACTGTCCTCTGGCTGCTGCACCGCTGCCCGTTCACAGCATCCCCTCTCCCACCCAGCACCTTCTGCAGCTCCTGACGGACATGCAGCCACCCCAGTGCTTTGCACCCCGGGGGATTTGGGGCAGCATGGGGGGCAGAGGGGTGCTGTACGGCCACCAAGCCCAGCCCCACCGGCCAAGTCCTCGGCTCACGCCGTTGTCCCGCACTTGCCACCTCCCAGGGCTGCTGGGGGCTGAGCTGGAGGTCGGTGGGAACATTTGGGTTTGATTTTGTACCCCCGCCGGGAAAGCAGCGCCGCGGCAGCCTGCTCCGACCCCTCTCGAGGGCTCCACGACCGCCCGCTCGCCAAAACCGAGCAAGAGAGGGGGAGAAGGGGGTCACGGGGGCTCACAGAGAGGGACTGGGCTGCGGGAGGGGGGTGCTGGGGGCGGTGCAGCCCACCACCCAAAGCTGCTGGCACCCCAAAACCTTGTAAGAGCTGCTGCTGAGGTTTGGGGGGGGGGCAGAAACTGGCAGCGGCGTTTCCACCTCACCGGGGTTTTAGGCGAGGAGCTCCCTGACCTGCGGGTGATGGGGAGAGCCTGGGCGGGGGGGGGATGCTTTGTGCCCCAGAGCAGGATCGGATGGGGAGCCCTCCCAACATCATCCTCTCTCCCCCGGAGACCCCTGTTATGGAGCACAGCGAACCCACCAGCCCCCCCCAGCCCTGCAGCCATGCGATGGCCCGCGGTTTGGCTTTCCCCCCATCCCCCCCCCCCCCCCCTCCCCGTGCCTCACAGCGCCCGGCGGCAGGAGGGTCTCCCACCGCCCCCTCCCCGAAAGCGGCGCTGGCTTGGGTTACACCGACTCAGCAGAAAGGAATGCAGCTACGGCTGGGGCAGAAAGAGGCTTCAAAGGGCTGTAACTGAGCAGGAGCAAGGGGTTTAGGGGGGGCAGAGCTGGGAGGGATGCGAGAAACACTGGAGGAAGCATGAGCCGAGAGGTGGTAGGACGGTGTCGGGTCCAAGAGAGATGTCCCTGTGTCCCCACGGTGCAGGACAGAGGCTGTCCCTCCAGCCACCCCCTGCCACCACCCCTGCTTTTTGCAGCCCAGGGCTGCGGCGGGGAGCCGGCATCTCCCGCAGTGCCCGGCCGAGCCGCTCCCCCTGCAATCACATTTTAATTACTGCTCTTGGTAAATTTACAGTCTGGAGCCGGCAGGACTCTGCCTGACCTTGATGAAGCTGCTAATTACAGCTGGAGGCGGGAAGGGGGTGAGCACACCGCGGCAGGGCGGTGCTTCAGGAGGGGGGAGAGCAGAGGCATGCCTGTGCCCCCCAAAAATTCCCCGCGTGGGATGGCCTCTGGCTCCGTCTGCAACATGGGTTTGCTGTGGGGGTCTTGGGGAGGAGGCAGAGGCTGGAGGTGGGAGCTGGGGGGCTGAGGCCCGTGTCCTCCCCATGGTTTCTTAACACCAAGCCCCTCCAAACAAAGCCCCTGGGCTGGGGGGTCCCCTAGAGGAGCTGGCGAAAGGTGATGGAGGGGAGAGCCAGCGCTGGGGCAGGAAAGGGCTTCCCAAGTCCTCGGCTGCCGAGGTTTCCAGCCGGTGCCAACCCCTCGGGTTCGCAGGATCGATGTCCCAGCCCTTGCTGCTCTCCAGCCCAGGGCGGCAGATGCACATGGAGGCCCGTGGCCATCCCGGAGCACGCACGCGCTTCCCACCCCTCCCAAAGAGACAAGCTTCTCTGTCTAAAGGAACAGATCACTGTGGCTGTGCCAAATTCCATGCCATGAGGGGCCACAGACCCAGCGAGGGGGGCATTTATGGCATGTAGGAGACTTTCCCCTCTATATGAAGTTCGTGCAGAGGGTGTCCTACGAGCCGTCCCGGGATGCTGGTGAGAGCCAGTGGGACATGCTCCATGGAGAGGAAGCCAAGAGCCTGGAGGACCACGGCCAAATGACAGGACAAGGCAGCTAGAGCAGCCCAGACCCATGGAGGACAGACCCACACATCAGACAGGAGCTGCCCGGGCACGGGCTCTGTTCGCTGCCTTTCCGCGGCTGGGAGCCCGCGGGCAGCTTCCAGCCCTGCCCAGCACGGGGAGCCAACGGGAGGCTGCACCTTTCCCATCCTCCAACTCCCTCGAAAGCCAAGAGGCTCCCCTTCAAAAAAAAACCCCCACGGTTCTGCCTGAAAAAAACTCCGAGCCCGCCTCCCTCTGAGGTAGCTCTGGCAGCACCCTGAGGCAGAATTTCAGGTCCTTGTGCCCCAGCAGCCTGGGGGATGCTGCACCCACGCACGTGCCCTGAGATTTGTCTCGTTCCCCTTCTCTGCCCTTTGGATGGGCTTATGTTGTACCCGTACATGAATCTAAGCACGTTTTTGTCTAAAAGCAAAGCCTGGAGCACCTGGGGACCGTGCAGCTCCTCTGCTGGGGGTGCAGCTCTGCAAGGGGATCATAGGCAGGGGTGAAACACGGATTTCCTGGAAAACCCACCCCTCCTTCCCTACGGATTTCCTGTGGCTTCACGGTATTGCCAAGTGCCAACATGCCACTTGGCATCTCTGGCTGAAAACCCGTGCCCCCTGCCCCGGAGCTGCATCTCCCCACCTCGCTGCGGCACCGGGATGAAAAATTGGCTGCGGTTGCAACCAGCACCGGTCCACCCCGCGCCGGGAGGGCTCCCGGCCCCGCAGCAGAGCTCCCCATCGCCAACCCGGCCTGCTCAGGCTCGCTCTGCTCGCTCGCCCCCACCCCTCCCCGGACCCCCCATTTCCCGAAATGCCTCGCTCCCCAGTCGGCCCATCCTCTCCCCCGATGCGGGTGGGGGAGGCAGGCGGCACACCTCCGCCGGGCGGGGGGCTGGCAGGGGCCCAGCGGAGCCGGGAGGACGCCAGCGCTCTGCCCCCTCGGGATCCTCGCGCCCACAAAGGGCCCTTTGTTGCCGCAGAAAGGAGCTAGAAAGGAGCCATTGAGCCGGGGGGGGGGGAGAGGAGGCTGCTTTCTGCTGGCAGCACCCCGGCTCAGCTCTGTTTGAAGGCGCGGTGGGGAGAAGGGGGCTCTCACGGGGCTGGCACCCACCTCATGCCACGGGATTGTCAGCGTCGTGGTCCCCCAGTGCCCTGCGTGCAGGGCATGGTGACGCCGGCCATCCCGGGGACAAGGAGGAGGCTCCGAGCCAGGAGCTGACTCGACACTCGTGGGACAGCCCTGGCCCGGGGCTGGCCCAGCTCCAGCTCCCAGCCAAGGGAATCGTGAAAGCCCCGTGGCCCCATTCCCAGCTCCTCGGGGACAGCCGCTGCCATCCCCGCTCCCTCCTCCGCTCCACGCCGGCGCGAGCTGCCTTTTCCCAGGAGCCTGCGCCGAACCGCAGCCGCTCCCTGCCCGCATCCCGCATCCCCCCATCCCCGGCAGCCTCCGGCGCATCTGCCAGCAGCAGCTTATCAGCTCGGCGGGGGGGAAAGGGCTGTCTGGCACCGCTTCCTCCGGCGGCTGTTGCCTTCTCAGCAACCTTGAGACAAGGCGCTTTCCCCGGCGGGAGAAGGGAGGGCGAGTCCCGGGGAGCGGCAGCTCCCAGCCTCTCGCTGCTGCCAGGCAGGATAAAAAGGAGTGGAAACAGCTTCTTCGGCCAAAAAGGACTTAAGGAAGGATGTGCAGCCCCAGCGTACCCCTCCCCGTTGTGTTTTGCTTGGAAAGGGGCCGGGCGCAGCCCAGAGCCCCCTGTTGCTGGGGAGATTTGTGAGCCCCCCCCTCCTCCTCTTCTCACCCCCCCCCCATCCATTCCGAATCACACAAAGCCGTCGGGTCCGCCAAGCAGCGCTCCCACCCGCGCCGTGGGGTCCCCCCACCGCCACCGCCCCAGCCCGCGCATCTCCCCCCACATCTGGTTTTCCCATCTCCAGTGACAAAGGGCTGCAGCAGCCCTTCCCCCCATGGCGCTGCAGCAGCCTCCCGCCATCGCCATCCTCCTCCTCCCCAAACTCCTGCGCCTGGGCAAATAGTCCCCACTGTGCCCATCTTTGCAGCCTTTTGTATGTTTTATTTCTTTTTAAGGGGCTGCTTCGCAGGGCAGGATTTGCTCTCAGAAAGGAGAACGGCAGCGTGCTCCCCGCGAGGAGCCGCCCAGGCACGGATGGGGGTTATGCTGCAACCTTGAAATGTTATATATACACACACACACACAAAAAGAAAATAAAATTCCCCGGTACTTGTTCCTCCAGGCTTTGCTGCAGCGAGACATGCTCGCACCCATCCCGCGCCCAGCGTGTGCCGGCCTGACTTGGCACGCCGGCGATGTGCCTCAGGGCCCCCACGCTGGCCCGACCCGTGCCCCTCCAGCACCTCCGTGCCTGCGGAATGGGGGGACACACACACCCCCCCCAACACTACTTCAAGCTGGGGGAGGGTGGGATGCACGGCTGGGTGCTGGAAGGCGGGTGGGCCGCCATGTGCCGGGGGGGGCTGTGCCGTGTGGCCGCGACTCTGGAGGCAGCAGCACGGCGGGCTCCTGGGCGAGCGGAGGGGACGGGGGCCTTTGTGTGGGTGGGCGTCAGTCACAGCTCGACGCCGGGGGTTTGGTGAAGCCGTTTTTGTAACGCTGCTGAGACCGTGGGGAGGGTGGCACCCACTCCCACACCCACTGGGGAGCGAAGCCCTGTGGCGGGGTGGGGGGGTGGGGGGATCTGCAGCCCCACGGAAAGGGGGGGGAGCGCAGGGCGCCTGGCTCAGCGGCGCTTGGGGAAGGGGGAGTTTGGTGGAGGCTTTGTTGGGTGAACAATGAGCTCCGCAGGTAGGAAGGCGACCAGCCCTGCCCTCCTTCACGGCAAGGGAAGACCCCATCCACCCTCCCCCCCCACCCCGCAACACCCTCCTCGTCCATCCCTGCACCCCAAGGCAGGCCCCTCACCATTCCTCCCCCCCCCCCCCGCCCAGGGCACCCTGCGGAGGCGATGCTGCAGGGATGGGGGGTGCTGGAGGGATGGGGGCCCCCGGGGCAGGCGATTCGGGAGGGGGAAGGGAAAGGGATGTGGGAGGGGTGAGGGGGGATGATGGTGGGGTTGGGGGAGGGACTGCGGGCAGCCATGCTGGAGGGGTGCAGGGGGGGTGCCCTGGGGAGATGGGGATTTCAGGGAAGGGGTGTAGGGACGTGTATGAGAAGGGGTTCAAGCGCTGGGGGGGGGGAGAGACCCTAAAGTGACGGCAGAGAGATGCAGGGGTGCACCCTGTGGGGTTGCTGCTGCAGGAAGGCAGGGGAGGGACGTGGGGGGGTGCCGGGGGCGGGGGGGGGGACTCCGAGGTGGCGATTCTGGGGGGACGCAGATGCAGGGGGGGGCACCCCGGAGCGGTGATGCCCCAGGGATGATGATGCCGGAGGGATGCAGGGGCGCATCCCGGGGAAGTGACACCCCAGGGATTTAGGGTGGGCCGAGGTGTGTGTGTGTGTGTGTGTCCCGTTCCCTCGTACCTTGCCGGGTGGAAACATTCCTGTCGTTGCCGGCTCGGAGCACGACCTGCGGGCAGCTCTGCTCCAGGGCGAAGAGCTCATCCTTGCCCACCTTGGCACTCTTGCCCGCCTTGAGGGTGCCGCTGGGTCCCGAGGGGGCGAGGTAGCGACCCTCCCCGTCGCGAAAGGCCACCTTCCCGCAGCGAAACTCGAGGGTGAAGGCGGTGCCGGGCTCGGCGGCGGGGACCAGGCGGCCGTCGCAGCGGAGCAGGCGGTGGTCGCAGCTCTGCAGGCTGTAACGCTGCTCCACGAAGAGGAGGGTGATGAGGGCGTCCACGCCCCACGGCACGTCGCGGTCCACGGCCAGCTCATCGCGGCGGGGTCCCAGGTGGGCGTAGCGCTTGCGGGCCAGGCTGTAGAGGTTGGCCTGGGGGTGCATGGCCAAGTGGACGCTCCATTTCTCGGTAGCCGAGACGGCGGGGGCGAAGCAGGAGAGCCGGTCCTCGGTGCCGCCGAAGAAGCGGCGGTGGGGCTCGGACTGCAGCGACCAGCGCCCGTCGCCGTGAGCCACCACCAAGAAGCGACAGTCGGGACCCGGCTCTTCGCTGTCGCAGCTCACCCGGCCGTCCTTGTCGGCTGCCAGGTACCGGCCCAGGTGGCTCTTGAGCAGCACGGCGGTGGAGTCCTCCCCGTCCTGCTCCAGCGTCCAGATCTGCTTCTTCTTCATGCTGGCGGCCGAGGCGTTGACCTTGAAGCCGAAAGCCTCCGCCGTCAGGTACTTGTTGCTGCAGTTGATGAGCCCGAACTGGATCTGCACCGGCTCCGCCGTCCCGTTCGCCGTCATCCTGCCGCTGCTGCCGCCGCCGCCACCGACCGCCGCTGCCGCCGCGCCCGCCCCGACGCCGCTTTTATAGGGACGCGGCGGCGGCACCGCCCCCCCCCTCCCCCTTCCCCCCCCCAAACCCCCTTCCCGACCCTCCCGCCAGCCCGTCGGGGCCGCCCCCCGCCGCGACCCCCGCCCGCCCCCTCCCCGCAGCCCCCCCGCATCGCTGCAGAGCCCCTCTGAGTGTAGCAAGAGCCCCCCTTGATTTGCAGGACACCCCCCTCCGCCCCCCGCCTCCCCCCCCCCCATTGTGAGACCCTATTGCATGGCAAGACCCTTCCCAGCATTACAAAAGTCCCCTTGAATTGCAGGATACACCCCCCCCCCCCATATTGCACGACACCCACTGCATGGCAAGACCCCTCCCCGCATTGCAGGAGCTTCCTTGAATTGCAGGACCCCCACATGCGTCGCAAGTCCCCACCGAATGGCACAAGCCCCCTTGAATTGCAGGACCACCCCCCACACACACATTGCAAGCCTCTACTGCTTGGCAAGACCCTTCCCTGCATTTCAGAAGCCCCCTTCAATTGCAGGACCCACACACACAGTGCAAGACCCCAGTGCATGGCAAAACCCCTTCTGGCACAGCAAGATCCCCCTTGAATTTCAGGACCCCCCACAAACATTGAAAGACCCCACTGTATGGCAAGACCCCTCCCGGCATAGCAAGAGCCTCCTTGAATTGCAGTCCTGCCCCGTATATTGCAAGACCCATTAGCATAGCAAGACCCTTCCCTGCACTGCAACAGCCCCCCTTGAATTCCAGGACACCCCCCCCCCCATACTGCAAGACCCCCACTGTATAACAAGACCCCTCCTTGCATTGGAAGAGCCTTGTTGAATTGCAGGACGGGGGGGGACATTGCGAGAACACCCCCTGCGTAGCAAGACCCCACACCCACACTGCAAGACCCCCCTATGTATTTCAGAGCCCCCCCACATTATAAGACCACCCCTTGCATTGCAGGACTCCTCCTCAAACTGACAGTCCCCCTCCTGCATTGCAAGACTCCCCTCTGCACTGCAAGACCCCATCCCACTGAAAGACCCTTCCTTCATTGCCAGACACCCCCCCCCTCACCCCTCCGCCCCTCCTGGGCCGCTGGCGAAGCTGCAGGGCTGCAGGACAGAAGGGGCAAAGGGTGAAAGACGCCACGGCCCCCCCACTATCTCTGTGCCATCCCAGCGCCCCGTGCCAGGTCCCAGCAAGGCTGGAGCATCGGGGCCCTGAGGAATCCAGGTTCTCCCAGCAAAGCCAGAAGCAAACCATGGGCACTCCTGTGCAAGAAGCGGGGGTGGTGTGTGTGTGTTTTTTCGAGGCCATTTCTCGGGGTGCAGGTGAGCAGCGTTGCTGTGTAGATAAGAGGCCACACTCCGGCTGCACGGGTGGTGGGGCCGACCCTGGGACTGGATGCAGCACGGGGAGAGCTGCTTGTGCTGCCCGGGGCGGGGGGGCTGCCCCCTGCTCCTTGGGGACAGGGGCACTCCTCATGTCTGTAACGTGGGAGCAAACACAGCTAGAGAGGAGTGTGGCTGGGGTGGCAGATTTGAAGCCCCCCCCCCCCGGGTGCGTGTTCGCTGGGGGAAACGTGCAAAAATAAAATCAGGGAAAGAGGGATGGGAGGGACGCAGGGGATGGTTTTCAGCCGGATCAGGGAGCAGAACCGCCTGCCCCAGCCGAGGCGGGACAAGGAAAGGGCTGGAGGGTGGGTGTGGGTGGGGGGTGTGCAGGGTGCACTCCGGGCTGGCTGGCACAAGGACTTTCCCCAGGCTCATCCTCCCGCCCAGGGCAGGGCTGCATCCAGCCCCCCATCTCCCCAGGCTCTCCAGGCTCCACTGGTTCTGCACTGGCCGTACTGGTTAGAGCCACCGCTCCACCTCCAGCCACACCGCAACCACCTGCCCCGGGGGTCTCTGGCACAGCCGCCCCCCCGGGCAAAGCTGCCAGGGCTGGATGGGGGTTGTTTTCCTGGGTGTTTCGGCCAGACCTAGTCAGTGCTTGTGCTTGCCCCACAGCCCCGCAAATCCAGACAGACAGGCAGACAGACCACTTGCAACCAGAACCAACCCCACGGCCTTTCAGCTGGGTTGGAAACAAATCTCCCACTCCCCGTTCCAGTGAGGCAGATCCACGTTTGTCTCACATAATCTTTCTGCTCCTTTTCCTAAAATCACCCAGGCGTTAGGACCCAGCCACGAGGCCGAGCAGATGCCCGGACCCACAGCTGCTGGGATCTGCCTTCTTCTGCTGCAGCAGGCAGATGGTGGCGAGGCTGAGAAAGAAACGGCTTTTCTGCTTGATAAAAAAAAAAAAAAAAAAAAAAAGAAAAAAAATTAGCGATTATGCAGGGCTAAAAAAAAAAAAAAACCACCCTGTTTTCTCCCCACTGCCCAGCAGCGGATGGCTGGCACTGCCTGGCCCTTGGTGAGTGGGGAGCCTGCCTGCACCCACCCTGCCTGCACCCTCTGCTTAGGGGGGGATGGGGGAGACCCAAATGCCATCTGAGACATCCCCGCATGTCACTGTGGAGGCAAAGGATGCCCGGTGCTCCCTGGCCTGGGGATGCAGTGGTCAAACCCCATCTCCTGAGTGCATCCGTGCGTGCCGGGTACGCTGGAGCAGTAAGATAGGCGCTGGGTTTCCCTCTCTATATTGCATTTCCCGTCGTCTTTGCAAGCCGTTGTGACTAAACGCTTCAGAGGTCACACCCCACCCCCCCCCCCCGCCCCCCCCAGCCCTCCCACCACCGCTCCTGCTGCAGACCCAATCCCCGGCGCACGGCATCCATGGCAAGGGCTTTCCGGAGCGCGGCCATGTCCCCTCCAGAGGGGCTGCGTGACTCACCCGCTGGGACATCAAACAAACCCTGGCTCCAAAAAAAGAAAAGCGAAAAGAAAAGGAGCCCCAGTCATCGAGTGACCCTTGTCTTGCCTGCCTCGGGCACAGAAACGCCCTCGGATTTTCATGCTTGCCTGGATGCTTTTTGTTGCAGCTCGGCTTCGTTTGTGTGCGGTCCCCGGGCTTTTTAGTCGAGCTCATGAAATCGGGTTTGAACACAGAGCCGGTGGCCGAGGCCACTGCGGGGAGGGTGAGTTTGCCCAGCACGCCAGCACGGGGCAAAGAGCACGCACGAGGGGCTTAGGTGGGGGAAGAGATGGCAAACAGCGTACGGCAACGTCTGGTGAAGTGTTATGAGGGTGCAATGGGTTGTTTCATCCCTGTGTCCCCCCAGGAGGGTGGCAGAACCATCACAGGCAGCGGGACACATCCCCTGGTGAAGGGGCAGCGTGGGGGCAGAGGCACCAGCCCAGGGTGCAGTAGCCAGGGGATGCTTTGGGCTGTGTGTTCGTCCCTCTTCTCTGGCACACACAGCCCCTTTGGGCACGGCTGTGTCACCGGGCCACCGGGCCACCCCGCAGACCGTGGCTGTCCTCTGGCTTCAAGACACATCTCAGCTGCCAGCCTGGCCTGACCCCTCCTTGTCCTCGGTGGAGGAATTTTGGGGGCTCGCTGCAAGCGGGGCTGCTGGCAGGTTTTCAGCCCAGCAGCACAGGGGACACAGGCTGGCTCACGGCCACGCGTGCTTCCCCTGGGTCCCCCGTGAGCTGTGAACCCCAGCTCAGTGTCACTGGCACGTGCAGACAGACATCCCAGGGGTGTTGATGTCCCTTGTGGTGGTGGCAGTGGCTGCAAGATGGCCAGGGCAGGCCTGGGAAGCCCCCCCCTCATCATGGGTACCCCCCTCACCACACAGAGGGGCTTGGCAGAGATTGGGGACTACATTGCCAGGGGGCCACCATCTCTCCAGCCACCTCCATCCCTGCACGGGGCAGGGCTTGGTGACAACAGGAGCCCTTGTGCAGGATGGGGTGACCCTGGGCAGCCCAGCGAGCTGTCCTCCCGTGGGATAAAGGGCTTTGCCAAAACCACCCAGTGATAGGGGGCCACTGGACCGGAGGCAGGAATGAGCCCCAGGCCAGAGGCTGCACCTCCCCAGGGTCCCCAAATGTCCCTTGCTGCTGCTGGGGGCCACGGGGGACACCCCAGGGTGCCCGGCTGCCCCGGCCTCGCTGCCATATGCCACCAGGCAGTTCAGCAGAGGTTCTCCAGCAGCTCTCCTGACAGTTGGCAGGCGCCCCAGCCTCATTAAAATTGTATTAGGCAGTATTTAAACAAAAAAATAATAAAAAAAAAAGCAGTAGCACCAGGGAAAACAAAAGGCAGCCCTAAGAGAGGGGCTTGGAGCAGCGGATTGTGCTTCAGGGGGAATTTGGGTTTTTTTTTGACCTTGCTCGGCCCCACAACCTGGGAAGCAAGGGGTGGTGGTGGAGCATCATCGGGGCTCAGACGTGTCCTTGCATCTCGCAGCCATCGGGAGTGGTCATGGTACTGGTCATGGTGCTTGCTCAGTGCTTTATTAGCTGGGTTTATCCTGTTAGCCTAATTTATTTGCATCCAAAGTGTAACTAGGGATGGAAATGCTTGAAGCACCCCTTTTCAAGCAGTTTGGGTGTTGGGCATAGGCAACGCTCAAAGAAATGAAGGAAGAAAGTGGACAGGAAAGCACGCCTGGCCGGGCAGTCCTGTGTCTGGCTTGGGACTTTGTCGCTCTCTTCCTGCTCAAGCCTGTTCTCTGGCGTGGTTTTTACATTATCAGAAGCTAAAGTGAAAACCTGCCCCTTCCTCCAGCTCCCCCCCGAGGACCCTGCGGAGGTAGGATGGAGGCCGGACCCCGGTTAATAGAGCAGGAGAATGAATTTTATTGGGAGAGCTTAAAAGACCTTTTGTGTAGCAGTTATTAACCTCAGCAGCGGGGACAATGCTCTTTGTGTAGGACCCAGTGCCCTGCGTGGTCCCCGGGGGCTCTGCTGGGGTGCAAGGCACCTGTAATCCCATGGAAGCGCCCAGGCGCAGCAGATGAGAGGTGCAAGGCATTTTGTGGGCCAAAACAACCAGGTAGCAGGGGATGCTTTCCAGCCTTTCAAAAAATAAAAAGATAAAAAAGCTAGGAAAAAAACAAAAAAAAATAATAGGGACATATCCGTTCTTTGCTGCCCATCTTGCAGCAAAACGCAATGCATCTGGTGAGCAGAGTGTGAGAGCCCTGGGGGCTTTTTGTAGTCCCTGAGGGGGAAAAATAAGCCACGTCTGTGCGATGGTGGCAGGTTTCTGCAGTGACTCCCTGAGCCTCCTGCCCCGACCTGCGGGCAACGCCGCAGCGTGTTTGCTTCTTGCTGGCTGCCCACGCACAGCCCAAAGGTGAATTTTGGCCCCAAAACCACTTCAGAGGAGGCTCAGGGCAGCGAGCGATGCTGGCTGCCCTCCTCCCCCGGGCTGCTCTGGTGCGGAGGTTTGGGCTGGGGCCGGGGTCGGGTCGGTCCGTGGTGGCAGGAGGGTGATGCTGGGGGGTTGGTGCCGCTGCTCAGAGGTGCAACGAGCATGCACGTGCTCAGCCCTCATCTGCAGCTTGCACTGAAGTCGCAGCCACGACCCAAACCGGGAGGCCAAGAGGAAGACTTCAGTGCCAGCCCTGTCGCCCAGCGCACGTCTCCGCTTTTAATTCCCCGCTGCAGCACGGAGTCAGCGCGGAAGAATTTGCAAGGAAGAGGAAAGTGTGTTATCAGCATCTGCCCACGCAGCTCTCCAAAATAACACGGCCCCAGCCGCTTGGCGGTGCCAGGAGGAGCAGGTGACTCAGCTTGCGACAGCAGCTCCTTTCTGCTCTGATTTTCTCGCTCGGTCATGCCTGGATCCATGTTTCCCACTGCGGCCAGTGCACCGTGCCCGATGCTTGTGGCCTCGCTGGGGGCTGCTGAAGGGTTTTGGTGGGCAGAGGAGCGGCACTGCCTGGACCCTCGGGGCACGGCTGCTCTCTCTGAGCCCGCTGCATGCCAAAAAGCTGGTCTGAGCATGGCTGGGATGGCCGTCCCCATCCCTGGCACCACACCACTGCGATCAGACACAACGCAGTGGCTCCGTCCTCACCTGGGGATGGTGCGCAGCATATCCCAAAGAGGACATAAGAGGGATGGAGAAGCCTTGGAGAGGCTGGAAATGAGGCAGAGGGTGTTGGGGAGGGGTGTCAGGAACAGGGGACAAGGCGAGGAGGCTGGGAGGAAGCCACTGAGGATGGGGGAACAAGGAGGAGGCAGCAGCTTATGTCCCCAGCTTCTTGCTGCAGGCTGGAGGCACAGCTTTGCGGTGGATTCATGGACGCCCATTGCAGGATGCTGCTCCAGGGAACCTGCACCAAGATCCCCATCCCCTCAGGGGCTGTACCCATGGATGCACAAGTTTGTGTGCAAAACCCCTCCGGTGCGGTGAGAGGGCTGAGGCTCAGCCTGGAGTGAAAGGGAAGCCAAGCCCCAGCAGGACCAGGGGGTTCCCCCCAGACACCCCCAGAGCAGGGGTGCCCATCTCTTTAAGGAACAGTAATAGGAGCAGTGATAGGAGCCAGCTGGGAAGCCCTGGGGATCCCTATAAAAGGCTGAGAGGGGTAAAAGTGGGGGACTTTGACAGCCTGTGGTTTGGAGAGGAGGTGAGGGGGTTATCTGACTCCTTGGTGGCGGTATCTGGGCACCCTCGGGTGGGATGCAGGGCAGCAGCAGTGTGTGCACCCATACCTACAGTGGAGAGCACTGGGGCAGGTGGGGGGCTGGGGTTTTGGCCCAGGGAAGGGTCTGGAGGGGGCAGTTTGGGGGTGGAGGGGTGGTGGTGTCAAACCTCCCTGCCAGCTGTGCCTTCCTGGGCCCGGAGGTTCCCTTCCAGATGGATAACTCCATTGTTGATGGTGAAAAGAGTCCATTAGGATTAGGAACGGGGCCTTTGGGGATTAGCCCTGCACCTCCTACCCAGCCCCTCTGGCCTCCTGCGGGTGCTGGGCTGGGGGGGCCCATCTCTGCCTCCTTGGGGCACTGTCCCCCATCTCTGTTTTCGGATGCAGGAGGGAATGGGGCTCCTGTTGAGCTGTGGGGCTGAGAAATGTGGATTCAGTTCACCTCCTTCCACCAGCTGTTCCAAGTGATCTGATATCCTGCTCCCAGCTGCGTTTTCTCATGCGCTTGCAGCCCCCAGCACTGCTCATCCCAGTGGTGCAGCTGGTGTACAGGGTCGTGCTGCTTCAGCTGCTGACCTGCAGGAGGGGAGTATTGTCCCAGACCAGGATTTTAGCTCTTGGACAGTCCATGAGTCCTTGCAGCCTCTCATTTCTCTCCTTAGATACACCCATATCTACCTTCTCTCATACCTGGGCTTCCTATGCATCCTTACAGGGCCCCAGGGAGGCTGGAGGGAGTTTTGCACATGGGGGAAACTGAGGCAGGGGGACCGCCAGCTGTGATTGCTATCTGGCATGAGGAAAACCCCATTGGGGTTGAAAATGGAGGCAGCCCTTTCTATGAGGTCTGCAAGGAGGGGGTGTAAGGGGGGGGGGGGGGGGGGGGACGGACACACACATCCAAAATTTGGAGCTGCTTGTTGAACTGAGCTTGACTCCCCATGTGCTCTGCGAAGATGTGCTGGATCTGACCTCTGGCTCAGCAAACCCGGGGTGTTTCCTGGTGTGAAACTGGTGGTAATGGGAGCTGGAGGGGGGGGGGGGAAGGCTTTCACCTCCCCCACCTCTCCATCCCACTGCTGCCTTCACTTCCCATTACAGGGGCTGTCAGGACGGCTTTATCCAGGGGTGAAGAGCTGAGGGGAGGGAGGGCGTGAGGGGGTTCTCGGCGAGCCTGCGGCTGGGCTGGCTGCAGGGAGGCCCCCGGGAAGGCAGGAATGCAGGGCGGGGGGGCCGCTGCTGAAACCCAAAACCTCCGTGCAGGGGCCCTGGGTCTCAGCATCCGGCCCGGCGGTGGCTGCAGGCGGGAGGCCCCTCGGCTTTGGGTTGGGAAGGGGGTGCTGCACCCCACCCCACCCCCCCCGGCACCAGGCTCTGCACCCACAGGGGTTGGGGGGGGCCTGGCTTGCCTGTAAAGCCCCCCCCCCCCCCCCCCCATTTTTAGTGAGGGTGCTGGTAACCCCCTCCCTGGCCTCCTCCTGCGGTCCCTCGAGCTTCCTGGCTGGAAATGGAGTCAAGATGGACAATAAAGCCTGGATGATGTGGGACTGGGGGGCCTCAGGAGGAGCAGAGCAGTTCCCTGGTGCTGGACCCAAAGAACTGGGCTGGAGATTGAGGGAAGCACTGGGTCCCGTGGGCAGAGGCACCCGGAGGGTCACAGGGGGGAGAGGGGAGGTGACAGGGACTGCTGTCGCTCTGCAGGACAGAGTAAAGGCCTTTGGTGGGAGCAGGGACCACGTGTGGGTATGGGGGGTGTGAGAAGCTATGGACTAGGATATTGTTTATTGAGACTTAGACTAAACCCAATGTAAAGGTCGGATAACAAAGGATGTGAAATCGCTAAGGCAAACAGCTACTAACTCAGCTGTCGCTTGTGCAAACGTGGCCGACGCCGCTTGTGCAAACCGCAGGATGTCCCGAGGAAACTGATAAAAGTAAGAAAAACAGCTCCGTATAAGGACATGAAAGCGGGGGGTCGGCCGCGAGAAGAAAACAGACCCCCTAGCAACAGTTGGAACATGCGCAGAGTATCTCCACCACTCTATGAACGCGGGAGTCGGGATGTATAAAAAGGACAGTCTTATCTACCCAACACGGCAGTTGGTGGAGCGTAGACTCCCCTGCCGTCCAGCGCTGTTTTTGCTCATATTCTACTTGCTATAATTAATAAAATTTTAATTGGATTACGACCCATTGTAGTCTCAATTTATAACAATTTCTGGTGCCGTGACTCGGATAAGGAGCGGTGGACATCTGTCCTCCGGGGAGGCGCCCCGCGGCAATCCGCGGCCCCGCGACTGATAGCCCACCCCATCCTTACCGACGAACCTAAATTCTAGAATAATGAGCAAAGATAAAACCGGTAAAATCCCATAAAATTCTGTGCACAGGAGTCCGGACGAAGATGCAGGACGCGTAAGTATATTGCGGATTTATTTGCGGGTTTACCGTTCGGGCGGGATTGGGTTTCCTGAATTATAACAAATGAGAGGTTCGATATACTGAACCAAGTGAGTGCAGACTCTTAAGTACTGCATTTCCCGCGAGGGACTGGGCCAGGAACAAGGGGAGTGAGTGAGTGTGTGTTTGTGGATAATTCAGAAGATGGGGGCGAAGGGCAGCAAGCCTTCGACTCCCATGGGAAGGGCACCCACTGTACCTAAGAATACCCTTCTGGCATACATCTTAGACAACTGGGAATACTTCCCTGGAGCCCTAGGGAAAGATAAGCAGAAGATGATAGAATATTGTACTAAGGTATGGGGAGGGAAGAAGATTTCTAAACATGTCTTTTGGCCAGTCTATGGGTCAGAAGAAGATTGGGTAAGACAGCAATTAAACCTCTGGGTTAATAGTAAAAAATCCCTTAACCCGGAGGAGAGTCAATATGCGGAAGTGTGGCTCGAGAAACCGAGAGCTAGACTTTACCCGCTGAATGAAATAAAAACTAAACAAAAGAAAAAGAAGGAAGAGTTAGATGAAACTCTTCTAATTCCCCCTCCTTACGCTCCCCCGCCTGCTCCTGCAGTCCCTCCAGAGGTCCCCAGAGCTCCCACTCCCCCACCAGAATCAGAACAAGGGTTTCCCCTTCCTCCTAGACACGTGACTAGAAGTCAAAAAGGGGCAGCTCAGATGTATCCTTTAAGGGAAGTGCCCATGGGGGGACCTCAACCTGTAATTGGATATATTTCTGTACCCCTAAGCTCGGCAGACCTACGAGATTTTAAAAGAACCGAGATGGGAAACCTAATTGAGGACCCACTCGGAGTGGCGGAAAGATTAGATCAATTTTTGGGACCAAACCTTTATACTTGGGATGAAATGCAATCTATCCTTGGTCAATTATTTACTACCGAGGAGAGAGACATGATTAGATGAGCAGGAATGAGATTGTGGGATGCTCAACATGCTCAGGGGCCTCAAGCAGATATTAAATGGCCACTCCAAAGACCTAATTGGGATAATCAGGATCTGGTGCATAGAACTCATATGCAGGACTTAAGAACTACAGTAACTCAAGGGATTAGAGAAGCAGTACCCCGTGGCCAGAATATCAATAAAGCATTTAATGAAATGCAAAAGAAAGATGAAAGCCCTACTGAGTGGCTGGAACGACTGAGGAAAGCCCTTCAGCTGTACTCCGGGGTAAATCCAGACGACCCTTTAGGGCAAGCGCTCCTCAAAACTCAGTTTGTGGCAAAATCGTGGGAGGATATTAGAAAGAAGATTGAAAAGTTAGAAGACTGGCAGAATAGAGGGTTAGATGAATTATTGAGGGAAGCTCAGAAAGTATATGTAAGGAGAGAAGAAGAAAGCAGCAAGCAACAAATAAAAATGATGGTAGCAGCGGTCAGAGAAGATCGTAAAGGGCGGACAAATGAACACAGATCTGCTGAAACGAAACAGGGGAATGTAGTAGTAAAGAAGGAACAGAGACTTTGTTTTTACTGTGGAAAGAAGGGACATATAAAGAGGAGTTGCAGAGAAAGGATCAGGGATGAGGAAATATTAAAAACGGAATAGGGAAGTCAGGGGCTCTATATTTTAGGGGACCGGAGTCATCATGAGCCCTTGATAAATTAAAAATAGGTCCCCATAAACAAGAGTTCACCTTTTTAGTAGACACTGGGGCTGAAAAATCGACTATTAGACAAATACCCGAGGGATGTAAAATCTCCCCTGAAAAAGTACAAGTAATTGGGGCAAAAGGAGAACCCTTTAAAGTAAGCAAAATCAAAAATGTAATATTCGAAACTGAAAATAAATTTGGAATGGGTGAACTCTTGCTCGTCCCTGAAGCAGAATTTAATCTGCTAGGGCGAGATTTAATTGTTGAATTGCAATTAGAAATTAAAGTAAAAAATTGAGAACTAACAGTGTTTGCTTATCCTTTGACCATGGATGATCAAAAACAAATTAACCCCAATGTCTGGTATTCTCCGGACACAATTAGTAGACTGGAAATCCCACCGATTAAAATCCAAATTTCTGAACCCTACATACCTGTGAGGATAAAGCAATATCCCATATCCCTAGAAGGACGGAGAGGATTGAAACCAGAAATTGATCGATTATTAGCACAAGGAATCTTAGAGCCTTGTATGTCACCCTTTAACACCCCCATTCTGCCTGTAAAGAAACCGAATGGGAAATATCGGCTCGTGCATGATTTAAGGGAAATAAAAGAACTATCACCTGGTTCTCTGTAGTGGCAAATCCATACACACTGCTAAGCAAACTATGACCCCATAATTCCTGGTATAGCGTGGTTGATTTAAAGGATGCCTTTTGGGCCTGTCCACTGGCAGAAGAATGCCGTGATTATTTTGCCTTTGAATGGGAAGATATAGAGACAGGCCGTAGACAGCAATTGAGATGGACCGTGCTCCCCCAAGGGTTCACTGAGTCCCCCAATCTGTTTGGCCAGGCCCTGGAAGAGCTCTTGAAGGAATACCAGGTACAAACGGGAAATGTGCTTTTACAATATGTAGATGATCTGCTCATAGCAGGGAATAATCAGGAGAATGTAAGAAAAGAAAGCATTCGACTCCTAAACTTCCTTGCACAAAAGGGACTAAGGGTATCACAAGAAAAGTTACAATTTGTGGAGGAAAAAGTGAAATATTTGGGGCATTATTTGTTTAACGGCAAAAAGATATTGGATCCAGAGCGCATTAAAGGAATTCTGGAACTACCTATGCCTGTCACTAAGAGGCAAATTCGGCAGGTATTAGGACTACTTGGATATTGTAGACAATGGATAGAGAACTACAGTTTTAAGGCTAAATTCCTATATGAACAACTGTCTAAAGACAAAATACCCAAGTGGACCCCTCAGGATCAAGAGCAGTTTGCCAGTCTCAAAAGGGAGCTAAGTCAAGCACCGGTTTTAAGTCTGCCAGATTTAAAGCGACCATTCCATTTATTTGTTAACATACATGAAGGAACGGCATTCGGAGTATTAACTCAGGAATGGGCCGGATAGAAGAAACCGGTGGCATACCTATCAAAGCTGTTGGACCCTGTGAGCAGGGGTTGGCCAAGTTGTTTACAGATCATAGTTGCCGCTGCCTTATTACTTGAAGAGACAAACCGTATTACTTTTAATGGGAAAATTGTCCTATATGCGCCTCATAATATAAGAGGAGTGTTACAACAAAAAGCAGAAAAATGGCTTACAGATAGTCGATTATTGAAATATGAAGGAATACTTATAGAATCCCCTAAATTAACTTTGAAAACTATTGGAGCAGCTAATCCCGCTGAATTTTTGTACCCAGGAGAAGGTAATGAACTATTGCACAACTGTTTCCAAACAATTGAACAACAGACACGCATTAGGCCAGACCTAGAAGAAGAACTACTACAATGTGGGGAAGTCTTATTTATAGACGGATCATCACGAATAGTAGAAGGTAAATGATTGTCCGGATATGCCGTCGTTAAGTTGGAAAAAGGAGAATTTAAGACAATAGAATCAGGCCCCCTGAGTGCCGGCTGGTCGGCTCAAGCCTGTGAGCTGTATGCATTGTGGAAAGCATTAGTATCACTGAAGGGAAAGGATGGAACTATATATACAGACTCATGCTATGCGTTTGGGGTAGTACACGCTTTTGGGAAAATATGGGAGGAAAGAGGATTTGTTAACTCGCAGGGAAAAGAACTGATATACCCGGAATTAATTCGGCGAGTTCTGGGGGCATTGAAAATGCCGAATAAAATAGCAGTTGTACATATAAAGGGACACCAGCGAGGTACAAGTTATCAAGTTAGGGGAAATAATGCAGCTGATACAGAAGCAAAACGAGTGGCAGGCAATTATAATACGATTTTGACGATACAACAAGTACCTGTTAGTAAAAATCTGAGCTTTGAGTCTGCAGAAAAGGAAAAACTAGAACAAATGGGAGCTAAGGAACAAGAGGGTAAATACATATTGCCAGATGGGAGGGAAGTCTTGCCAAAAGGCATAGCACTCGAAATATTTTCAAAAATACACAGCAAAACACACTGGGGAACCCAGGCATTAGTTGATCATTTCAATCAACAGTTTGCCTGTATAGGCGTATATAACATAGCAAAGGCAGTCACGGCAGCCTGCGAGACCTGTCAAAAGGTTAATCGAAACAACATGAGACAAAAACCTCTTGGAGGACGTTCCCCAGCATACAGACCTTTCTCACACATACAAGTGGATTTTACTGAACTACCTAGGGTAGGGCGTTACAAATATTTATTAGTAATGGTGGATCATTTAACACATTATGTTGAGGCTTTTCCTACCTCCAGGGCAACTGCTAACCAAGTTACTAAAGTGTTACTTTAACACATTATACCTCGATATGGAGTGCCTGAAGTAATCGACTCGGACAGAGGAACACACTTTGTGTCAAAAATTGTTAGAGATCTAACCGAAAGCTTGGGTATTAAGTGGGAATACCATACACCATGGCATCCACAAAGTTCGGGAAAAGTTGAAAGGATGAATGGAGAAATCAAAGCTATTTTGACTAAATTAATGATAGAAACCAAATTATCATGGATTAAGTGCATACCCATGGCACTATTAATTCTCAGAACCAGACCCCGAGCAGATGTGGGAATATCAGTGTTTGAAATGGTGTATGGAATGTCCTATAGAATTGAAAATCCACAAACAAATGTTTTAATTCGAGACCATGTGATTAATGAATATGTTTCACAATTAGCAGAACATCGTAATAAGCTTTGGGAACATGGACTGATTGTGCAACGACCCCCGTTGGACTTAAAAATTCACAATGTGAAACCTGGGGATTGGATATTGGTTAAAGTATGGAAGGAAGAAACCCTAAAACCCAACTGGGAGGGACCTTATCTTGTTTTACTTACAACAGAAATAGCTGTCCGGACTGCTGAGCGTGGATGGACTCATGCCAGTCGCATTAAAGGCCCCGTGACGAAACCTCAATGGAAAGTAATCAGTACCCCAGTTAAAGCTGCAAAGTGGGAAGTCTATATAAACAGGCAGAAAGCCCGAAACAGCTGTTCTCCTGAAGAATTCCCTTGCTGCCGAGAAGATGGTACACCCCGTGGCTCGAAGCAACCGAGTCGACGGGCGAGGCAGAGGAGGAACAAACCGTGGGGAAAAGAATCAGAACAATGGGACGCAAAAGCAGCAATGGTCAAACTTCCCCAGGACTGGTAAAAATATACTTAAATTGGCAAAAGTGACAAACACCCTTTTTCCCGGTATACCGTTAGTCTTGTTACTGATAATAGCCCAGGCAAAAGGAGGAAACCCTCATGAACCTATGAATTGGACAATAACAAACATACAACATCCAAATAATCCAATTCAAGCACGGGCTACACCGGGTACATTTAGTTTTAATGTGAGTTTGCGCGATCTAATTACTGGACACCGTAAAGACAAAGCTGATCTGTGCAAACCAATCTACATATGTCCCGCGTCCAATCCTGGAAGAGGTTATTGTAACCTTCCAGGTCACTATTACTGTGGCTATTGGGGATGCGAAACATGGGCCTCTGAGTGGTCCACATCTGGAGACGAATATCTAGAAATAAAGTGGTCACCAGAAAAGTGTAAGAGACCTCACATAGGAAGCGATGGACGTGTATTCGGACACTGTAACAATGACGGATATTGTAAAAGTATTAACATAACAATTAAAAACCCAGACAACGATCAGTGGTTAGCAGGAAAATATTGGGGAATTAGATATTGGGAACCGGGTGGAGACAGAGGAGGAATCTTTCAAATAATGAAAAGACCGATGCCCCACGATCCCTTACCAGTAGGACCAAACTCAGTCCTAAATTCACCCACTTTTCCTAAGAAAAAAATGGTTCCCACAAGTGTTACAACCATTCGTCCAAACTTCCTATCAGTAACAGATAGAACAACTAATGACACAGTGACTGAGTACTCTTCAGTTAGGGATTCAGGAGTGTCAGAATCTAAAGACCCCTTATGGGATTTAATGCAAGCCTCTTATCGTACCCTTAATGAAAGTAAACCAAATTTAACTAAGGAATGCTGGTTATGTTACAATATTAGACCACCATATTTTGAGGCAATCGGAATATCAGATAGGATTCAATGGTCTAGTGGTTCAAACCCACAAGAATGCCCATGGGATGACCAGAGGAACCATACACAAGGAATTACTATTCAATTAGTAACAGGTCAAGGAAAATGTATAGGTACAGTTCCCAAAAGGTATCAGCCCTTGTGCAACCAAACAATCACTAACACCAATATAAAAAGACACAAGGATCAAAATGACAAATGGGCTATCCCGACACCAGGAGCTAAGTGGGTTTGTTCAGACATCGGAGTAACGCCTTGCCTATCCTTAAACGTGTTTAATCAATCTCAGTTTTGCATACAGGTGATTATTGTTCCTCGTCTGATCTATCACACCTCTGAGGAGGTGTTACGCCACTTTGAAGGAGACCTGAATAGACAAAAACGAGAGCCAATTACAGTGGTAACCCTAGCCACTCTGCTGACAGCGGGCGGAGTTGGAGCAGGTACGGGCACAGCCTCCCTAGTAGAAGGTCAGGAATTACAAAGTTTACAGATGGCTGTAGATGAGGATTTAGCAAAAATAGAACAATCTATCCAAAACTTAGCCACTTCGGTAAAGTCTTTATCAGAGGTAGTGCTGCAAAATGGAAGAGGATTAGACCTATTGTTCTTAAAGGAAGGAGGGTTATGTGTAGCTCTCAATGAAGAATGTTGTTCTTTTGCTGACCATATGGGAGTAGTCCAGGACACCATGTCTGAACTCCAGAAAAGGTTAGAGCAACGTAAAAAAGATCGCGAGACGGGCAGATCGTAGTATGAAAACTGGTTTAATGTTTCACCTTGGCTAACCACTTTGTTATCTGCTTTAGCAGGACCGCTTATTATGTTGATTCTGGGACTTATATTTGGACCTTGTATAATACGCTATATTTTACACTTTATTAGAGAACGGTTTGACATAGCTAAATTACTTATTTTAAGGTCTGAGGTAAAATATAAAAGTGTATCTATTAATGAAGACAAAGATGATGAAGATTGTTGTGAATGCGTTATACCACGTAAGAACTATGATTGTAATTCTGAGATATTACCCTGTGAATGTTGTGATAAATGTTGGAATTGTGGAAGAAGGCTTGCTTGCAGTGCTAAGAATGAAAGTAGCGTCTAATAAACAATAGTAGGATAAAAAGAAAAAGGGGGGATTGTGAGAAACTATGGACTAGGATATTGTTTATTGAGACTTAGACTAAACCCAATGTAAAGGTCGGATAACAAAGGATGTGAAATCGCTAAGGCAAACAGCTACTAACTCAGCTGTCGCTTGTGCAAACGTGGCCGACGCCGCTTGTGCAAAGCGTGGGATGTCCCGAGGAAACTGATAAAAGTAAGAAAAACAGCTCCGTATAAGGACATGAAAGCGGGGGGTCGGCTGCGAGAAGAAAACAGACCCCCTAGCAACAGTTGGAACATGCGCAGAGTATCTCCACCACTCTATGAACGCGGGAGTCGGGATGTATAAAAAGGACAGTCTTATCTACCCAACACGGCAGTTGGTGGAGCGTAGACTCCCCTGCCGTCCAGCGCTGTTTTTGCTCATATTCTACTTGCTATAATTAATAAAATTTTAATTGGATTACGACCCATTGTAGTCTCAATTTATAACGGGGGGGGGGGGAAGCTGGAGCTGGATGAGGCCCTTGGTGCTCAGTCCCGCCTGCAGCGTGCACCTCGGCGCCTGTGCAGTGTGGGTGTTGGTGTGCAGCATTCTCCTCTGTGTGTGAAACTCCTCGTGCAACGTGCGCGTGGGGGGGTGTGTGGGTGTGTGTGTGTGTGTGCGAACCCCCGTGCAGCGTGCGCCTTGTTGCGTGTGATCCCATGTGCAGCGTGCGCTTTGCGGGGCGCGCTCCTGTGTGTGCCTCAGAGCGCTACGTGTGTCAGTGTGTGCAGTCCCGCGTGGCATGCGTGCAATTCCTTGCGCAACATGCGTGCTGGTGCACGCGATCCCATGTGCGGTACGCACCTTGGCACACATGATCCCACGTGCAGCGTGCACTTTGCTGTGTCCCATCCCACGTGCAGCGTGCGCCTCGGCGTGCAATTCCATGTACGGCGTGCACGCAGCTCCACGTGTGTTGGGATCATGCGTGCTGTGGTATGTACATGGGGGGGCTGCACCTCAGGGCGTGCACAATCCTGCGTGCAGCGTGCATCTTGGCGTGCACAATCCTGCGTGCAGCGTGGGCCAGGGTGTGCGTGGCCCTGCGTGCAGCTCTGCGCAGTGCAGTGTGCATCCCAACACTGCCACCCAGCAGCCCGGCCGTGCTTTGCAGCAGGCTTGCAGCTTGTGGAAATCCTTGGCGGGGTGGACAACATGGAGAGGAACAAAGCAGCTCAGGGGGAGTGAGCGTGGAGGGTTTGCTGCCTGCTAGGGCCCCACGGGAGTGTCTCTGATCCCCTCTGGGGATGCTGGGTCTCTCCAGGAGCAGATCCCTCGCTCTTGTGCATCACTTGCAAACACAAACCAGCGCTCTGCAGTAGCTGGTGCTGCAGGATTTGAGCCCAGGGTGGGAGCGAGCATCACAGCAAGGGGAACTGGGTGCCCCAGTGCTGGCCAATCCCCACCAGTAAAGCCGGAGTCTCGGTGCTGCTGGCAGCAGGCTCGGGCTGTTTTGTCTTGCGCTGTGATTTCGCAAAGTGATGGTGTAACCGCTGACTCCATCACAGCCTGAGCCAGACCCTGGTACCCAGCACGGGGACAAGAAAGGCTGTGGGCCCCACAGACCCCCACCCTATATGATGGTCACAGCATCATCCCCACTGCTGCTCCCTGGGAATTGGGGGGGTACCTGGCCCTGGCACACACTCGATCACCCTTCACCAAAGCATGCAGGAAAACTGCGCTAGGAAAGCACAGACTACCCCAAAGCAGCCCCGGCCATCCCTCAGGGCTCCCTTCACCCCACAGGACACTACGGCCCGTGGCCCCGCACACACCTTCGATACCGTGGGACGTCACCAGAACATTTCCCCAGTCTTTTATCGCTGGAGTGAATCATTTACCAGGGCGGGCAGGCTGCCTGAAAAAGCCTCGGAACAGCCGTTGCCAGCGGAGCACAGCCAGGCCAGGGGGATCTCGCTCCCCAAGCTGAGGGGTCATCGTCGGTTCCTCTGCCCCACGCGGGGAATTGGTGGCAAAAGGGGAATTTAGGGAAAGGGGCAGGCGGTTGGTGTGTGGCTGAGATCGCTGCCTGCTGGGGCTGCCCATCCGGGGTGGGTTTATTTAGCCAAGATTTGGGCAAGCTCTGGGGCGAGAATCCAGCTGAACTCCTGCTGTCGGCGCGATTGCGGAGTTGGCTGTTGTCCTTTTGCTGCTTTGGCCTCCTCGTGAGTATTTTGGGGTGTTTGTCCCAGCGTGCAGGTGGGGATGCCACCGCTCCAATCCCTTCCCAGCCCCTTGGTTGGGGGAAAGCTCTGAACTGCAGGACGCTGCCCTGTCCCCGTGGCGAGGTGACAAGGGATGGGCGGGTGACACAGACACCCAGACCAACACCTCAGTGGCCTCGGGTGAAAATGCCTGTTCCTCTCCTGTGCCCTGGGGCGTTTCTTCTTGTGACGTAACCCGGGGTGAACGCATCAGGCGGGCAATCCCCAGCGGGGATGAGCTGAGCCCTGGTTGCTTCTCGAGGGCTTGTTGAGCCACCCCAGGGCGGAGCAGGCGATCAGCCCCGCTTCCTCCATGGGGAAACTGAGGCAGAGCTGGCACTGGAGGAGGTGGCGTGGGGGGGGGGGGGGACTCTGGCATGCTCCATGTGCCGTGCTTGGCATAGCTGGGGAAGGATGGGCCAGCTCAGGAGTCACCCTTGGAGCCAGCCCAGCACCGGGACCAGAATCCAGTATATATTAATAAAATATATTAACAATGGGCTCTGTGATGCCCATCCCACGGGCAGCAAACAGGCTTCACCCACCAAACGCCAGGTGCTTCAAGGCGCTCCCAGGTGCACTTACACTCCTGTGCCTTTAGACCAAATTCTTTGCAGAAAGTTGAGTTTTCAGCGCCCGACTGACTGCAGTACCGCTGCACCAGGTGCTGAGCTTTCCGCTTTCCCCAGGCTTGGTCCCTGGATCTTGTGCGGGACCACGGCAGCATCTCCCCAAACCCGGCGAGTCCGGCAGCGGCCCTCGGCCAAGCCCAGCATGTCGTGGCTGGCGCAGGGAGCTTTCGGCACGGTGTTTGCCGGGGCAGAGTCGCTCCTCCCTGTCCCCCCCGCGCGGAGGGGAACGCGGAGAGGAAATTGCTGCTGACGGAGCTGCAAGCGCTGCCGGACTGGGGATGACTAAGTTTGGCAGTGCTACCTGCCGGCTGTTTTTCCTTTTATGGAGGATTTGAGCGAGCCGCTGGAGCAATTCTCCGAGAGAACCCAAAGGGATCCACCCTGACCTTGGGGACGGGCACCGCCGGGTTGGAGACAGGGTGGCTGGGGAGCTGGGTGGGTGGTGAGATGCTGGGGCAGCGTGTGGCTGGTGGAGGTGGGGATGGACCCCCCTCTCCCCATCCGGACGGGGCACCCGAATGTTTTCACTTTCTATTTTAAGGAGCTGGACGCTGGCCCCAAGCGGAGGCCTGGCCCGTGGTGCCAGCCAGGGCGTGCGGCTGCTGGCACCCTCCGTGTCACCCACCTTTGAGGCCACCCCACTGTCCCACGTCCATCCCCATGTGGCTTTCCCGCAGGCTGGGGGTGCTGGGGTGAAGGGGAGAGAGGATTCGGGGGGGATGTGTCTCTTGCAGGGGGACACCGTTGCAGGGGTGGGGGCATCATCTGTGCAGGGCCACGTTACTACAAGGTGACAGCATTGCAGGGGACACCTCGCTGCAAAGGGACACCCCTGGCGTGGGGGGGAGGGCACCGCTCTGCACCCCGGGGCTGAGGTGGAAACGGGGCAGCCCAGCCTCGGAAAGTCCCCAGCTGGTGAGAAATGCAGAGAAAGAGAAACAAAACCAGCACCTTTCCTTCCAGCGGCCAGGGTGGCTTATGGGGCTGGGACCGGGATCTGGTCACCCACGGTGGCTGCTCCTGTAGCCCCCAATCTGCACTGGGGGGCCGGGACTGGGCTCCTCAAGTTGTGTCCTGCATTCTTGGCATTATTCTCCTTTTTTTCTCCTCCTCCTCCACCCCGGGGACGCTTTCAAACCTCTCCATTTATGGACAGGAGGTTAGGTCAAATGGGAGGGTGAGGGGACGCCTGGGTCCCTGGGGAGTGGTGGAGGGGGAGTGTCTCATGTGGGGGACAGGGTCTGCAGCCACCATCTGCAGAAAGTTGAGGGACACACAGGCATTGCCCCTGGGACCCCCATCGTGACACTGTGTCACTGGGACCCCCCACCCAGGGAGGTGGTTGGGGTCACTCCCAGAACCCCAAGGATGCTGGAGCACCCTGAGCTGCTGCAAGCACCTGGGGAGAAAACAGCCCCTGTGGGTAGGGAGGGATTTTTCCTCTTGATTTATCATTTTATTTTGAAGCCAAACACTGCTGGTTTGGGGGTGCGGCTGCAACAGCCGGCCCTCCCTGGGGGGAAGGCGGGATGTGTCCCCAGCCCCAGGCCACCGAGGAGTCACTGGGGCAGGGTGAGATGACTCCGAAGCGGCTCCGGATGATGAAATGTCCTGATTCATTCGAATAGTTAATATATTAAAAAAAAAAAAAAATAAATAAAGGAGCAATGACTCAGGCAGTGTACCCTGCCATTTGGTGGTGACAGAGTGGCTGCTTGGGGTTAGGCTTTTGGGGTGGATTTTCCCCTGGTCTATAATAACACCTCGGGGTGTTGCTGAAGGCAGTGAGCTGGGGTAGAGGCAAACACCCAAGGAAATGTGCTGCTGGGGACAGCCCGTGTGCTCTGCCACATGAGGCAGGCCTGGGGAGCAAGGATGCTTTAAAGGGGGTCACACGAGAGCCCCCCCGCCAGCCCCAGGATGTGCCAGGTTGTCACTGGGGTGGGGAAGGACCTCAGCACCCCGTGGGAAGGGTGAGATGGATGAGCCTCAGCTGTCCTTTGGTGTTTTAACCAGCTCTGCAGCACCCCTGCCCAAACCCTGTCCCCATGGGCTGGGGGACAAAGGAGGGGACACCAGGGACTTGTTCCTGCACCCCGTGGGTGCCCATCGTCCCCTCCCTGGCTCTCAGCTGACTCAGCCGGACAGGATTCCCACAGTTTCCGTCAGGTGCTGCCTGGAGTCAATGGGGAAGAGGTTTCACAAGCCCCAGTAATTAATGCTAATTACAGAGCAGCAACATGGGAGTCATTTCTTCCCCAGGTGTCCTTCCAAAAATGGCTTTCTGCAGGTGTGGCACCATCTTTCGCTTGTCATTAGGCACTGCTCCGCCTCGGAGAAGGTGAAACCTTCGAAGGCAGGGACTGTGGGAACGGCGTGACGGAGGACGGTCCCCGCAGGCGCCCGGCCCGGCTGCAGCTGCTGGCAGCTGGGTTTGGCTGGAGGGCAGGGCTCGCTCAACCCCGGGTCAAGACAACCCATGGGGGAAAAAATACCATCTGACCTCCTTGAGCAGCATGACTGCTCCTGGCAGCTGCTGGCAGAAAAATAAAACCATGGAGAAGGGGCTTGGAGGCTTTTTTTAATGGCTTTGTTCTGCTGC